CATGTTTTAACCTTAAATAACCACCCTAGAAACTATACGCCTAAAATTTCACCTGTTCGAACGTGTTATCACTAACGGCTACAGGTTAATCTATTGAAACTAAACACTGCGATGGAACGTCCTGCGTGATAAAGAGCTGTTTGGAACTAGGGTTGCTAAACACCAAATTAGAGAAACTGAAAAGTAAAAAGATAGGTTCAAGGGCGAACCCATTCCTTAATGGGCAGTTGTGTAGAGTCGTGTTAATTAAAGCGAGTAGCAACAGGCTGGACGTGAAACTGTGCAAAAAATCATAAATTTCGGTTTCGACAACAAACACTTACAAGCGTCTCATCTACCCGTCATCGATATTTTGGCAGTAACGACCGGATCGCTAAAAATTATTATAAAATATCACTATCCCTGGGTCTCGCTACCCTGTGTAAATATACCAATATGAGTGTTCATTGGCAGCCATAAGTGTCACCGAAGCAACGGGTCAATTACGGGAGTCTGGAATATATATTTTGAAGTTTTTTTACTATGTTGCCTCGCGAAAAGAGGTAACACAAAAGCGTCACGAGCGTTCTGACACCGAATTTGCTAGTTAGGAAGTAGCGTCTTGTGTTAGCCTGGCGGAGTAATGAATTTACTTTGCTATATAATCCAGCCATACCATGCTTTATGACTACATGATTTCTACATGTCCACTTATTCTACTAGGTTTTTAATATCTAGAACGAGCGAATTGTTCCAGCAAACTGGGATACTTTCCGTACGTGAAGCCAACGTAACGGCATCACGGAGTGCTGCGTAGAACTGATCAGGCAATCCGATCACTACGTAATTCTATGATGTATTTCATCTGAAGCTGTACAACACTATTCTCGCTTTAAATATACATGTTCTTGTTTAGAAGATTTCCTATTTTGCGAATCCAAAGACTGGATATGCTATACGTGCAATAGCTGGTCCGTAGTGGGTAATTTCCAACCTCTGCTCTAAAGCCGAACAGGCCTGACCATCAGCTATTAATTTAAGCGTATAGCTGAAATAGCTGAAATCTATATAGGTTGATGATGGCTAAATTTACAGGGAGCGGTGCTACCGTTCGTTTGAATTGTGCTTTATAGGTAGGCACTACTTCTATGATCTATATACTATTAGATTTATAGTGATCTTTCACGAATTGTTCATGTGCTACTTTCGAAGGAAGTAGCCAGGGCTTTTTTTCTTTGCCAATCTATTCAAACAAAAATAGCGAAGCGTTTAACAAAGTACGACATGTTGCTTTCACTCGTCAGTGCAGACGCTTCATCAACTGTAGTGGAACGGGTACCGAACTGTTTCTACCTGGCCCCGCTGTCGTTTCGTTTTGAATACGCTTGCTCTCATCAATTGACGCTCATTACTGGTTGTGCCCTAAGATGTTTTCAGGAAATCGTAGTTAGAAGCACCCTCCCAAGTTACTTTGACCCAGTCGAGAAAACGCAGCCTGGTCATAGAAGAACCTGGGAAAAAATGAGAAAAATACCTTCGCTTCATGGGATTGGCTGATAACGTTAGCGGGGTAATGTGAGTGCTAGATAGACGAGTTTGTCAGTTATTGGGTAACTATGTAAGCAAGCATTCATAGATTTAGCTGGAAAAGTTAGCTAGTAGGTGGGTAAAGCGTAAATGTTTAGCTTGGTGGCAGATGGTCATCTAACTAGAAAACACTGGGTTTGCTGCTCAAGCCAGCGCTCGATCTAATTTCTTCTTTGACATCTAACAGCTTTCGCGAATAACAATAGAATGATCCTAAGTATTTCCAGTTGCAAAAAAATGAATTCCGTATTTGTGAGTTAAGATCATTTCGGACGATCTGAAAGGGATCTACGCTGAAAATATTTACATCTAACTATTTCAGTGTTTGAACAAGGTAAAGACATTTACGAGATCTTATTCATACTGTTTTATTTCAATATTGTTGTCTTTCAACACAAGTAAGAAGAAAATTTGTTCCCAAGAAAGATAATGGCCATTACAAGCAGATGGGACCAAATCAAATATATTATATCCAATATTCTTCCTCCCCAACCGAAACACTGATATTCTTGTTGGCCCGCGAAATTAATTAGAGTCCTACAAAGGGTAATAGTCAGGTAAGAGGCGACACCTAATGATTTTCTACACATAAATAGAAAATCTTTTCAAGATTAAAATCGAAAGTTCATATTCTGTTAACGAGCTAACAGTACATTAGTTTAAGGTCCTGTCAGGTTTTCCGTCAGGGTACGGGTCGAAGCAGTTGGATAGCACGAAAGAGCCGGTGCTGCCTCAATGGCATCTCTACAAAGCAGGATAATCCTTACTGTGTTCTTCTTGAACATTTTGCTGCTCCATATTGGTTGACGGTCCATCAATGGTAAATGGCCAGGAATAGGATAAACATTTAAACAGATCTATTTGGCTTCTAATACGTGTGCGCAGGCCACATTTCCCCTACTTTTCATTTGCCGCCATGTGAGATTACAGCGAGGGCGAGAAAAGAAGTGAACGCGCTGTCCAAGTTAGTCGAATACAAATGGGCTTAAAGGTAGAGGTCAAAAAGCCAAATAGGCACTAATCTTTTGTAGTTCAGGTCTGCATCTAACCAGTAGAGACGGGCATAAGTGGTACAGTTGGCAAAAGGTAACTTGGGCTTCTTTCCTCTCTATTGCCTACCCACAATCTCAAACCAGAGCTAGTGCTTATATCTATGTCTTTGATGTCTATCTCTAAACGTGTGCCGAACATCGCTAAGGGAATTCGAACTTTCGGAGAGTATCGCAATGCGATTTCACCAATTCTTCATTGAAAAGATGCATTTCTTGTTGCATAAATAGTAAAGGTCCAGAAATTTTTCGGATGCTATTAAATTACAGAATAATTAATCAGAACTTATCAGAAACAATATATTGCCAACCTTAAGATTTGTATGTACGTTAGACGAAATGCGTTTTGTTTGAACAATAATCGTTATAGCACTCTGACACTTATCATGCGTTCAAACGTTGAAATCTCCTTACATCATGGGCCATCCAAACTGGGGCTTTTTCTTATGAGTTTTTTGTAAAGCTATATTTTCAAGAAAAATAGATGTTCCAATACATTTTTCTCATATGCGCTCTAAACGTCATTCCCGACGGTTATGTCTTCTCAATATAATCACTGTTTGGCGTAACTACAACGGCGATTCGGGTTCTAAACCACTGAAAGGCTTGTTTTAGATGCCTTCTTCGATTTTCTTCGAACGCCTTCGTGGTAGCAATGATGAATCAGACGTTGTCATGTCAAGATTTGTTGGGCTCTCTTTTAACAACGCTCCGCATCAATAATAAACCCGGTACAAACTGCTTTCAGTGGAACCGGTTTCCGCTTCCTTGACAGAAACATATTCATTTGCGACGCGCTACGTTGTCAAATTGAAGGCGGCCCAAGAAGCTTGTCATCTCGCTGATGCGTCGCCCTGGGCGAGATATCAGACAATGGATCATCTTCAGTCAGCCGTCTTAATCCATCATTATGAGCTTGTTGTTTTATTTTAAATCACTGGTTTCCTTCTAGGACCAAAAACAGCATATGAAGGCATGCCCACTACGGCAAACTGCCCACCAAAGCTTAGCTCAAGCAGATGCTACTAAAATAGTACTATTCTTAATACGCTTGGACTTTTGATACATACTGTAACAGCCGTTTTGGAGAGGAGAATATCACTTGTAAGTTAAACCGCCCGGACGCGCTCTAACAATTAGCCTTTCTGAGACTTTTTGCGTCTTTTAAACTTTTTGGAGCTTTTCGTTTGATTGAAACTTAATCCCGCTGGACCTTTGTGTATCGCGCATAGCTGAGTGACGCCTAGCGAGCTTACACTTAATGCATCGTTAAAGTTAATCGTTAATGAAGGAACGGACATTAGAGTACTTTAGTTTGTATTCTGAGTGAATGAATGAAAATTGTAATCAAGGTGGATAACGTATTGATGAGATATAGAAACCGTTGAGGATGACTCTTTCAGTACATCCAAAAAAATCGTAAAAAATCTACTTTTGCTTTTAGATTCTCTTTAATGGGCATCCCATAGAAAAAAAAAAAAGATGGATTACCCGGTGTGCTTTTTCTCTGTCCACTAAAACATGCAGCAAACAGGGCAAACATTTGAAATATATTAATACAAATACACCTACAATATAGTCGTCTCGACATTATAAACCTGATTCATCTCGGGAATTCGCTGGATTCCGTATACACGAGACAATTTCGTCTTCCATATACCCTATAGCCTGCATCTGCTCTCAGAGGTACCCTCTGCACAACTTTGCACGGCATTTACAATGTAAAGCAACTAAATTAAGACGAAATTTACTGTATAGTCTTTATGGTGATACCTTTTCAGCCAAAAAACAAAAAGCTAATTGCTTTCACTACTCAAGCCAACGCGTCTCTGACATGGTATTTCATCGAATGTAACGTGTCTCACTTCGGTAACCTTCCTAATTAATGTCTAACGGGGCAAACAAGTACCGAAAAAGCATAACACTCAAAAGTAGGAATTTTTCAGTGCCAGTCGCAACAGACGCGATATCGGCTTAACGTACTCAGTCCTTAACGCCTTCTAATTGTTGTTGGACAACTTACTACTCTGTGCTAGCAAAAGTGGTGCCAGTTTGGCTGCCGTATGTCCTGAATGCGATAAAATTTAGTTGTTAATAGTTGGGAGATAAACAATTTCAGAAACCGTTGTACGTTGATGCAAGTATCATAGTGCGACGTACCGCCCTACCTATATAGCTGTGTTGAAATTTAAATTCTCTTCCTTGAAATAACGATTTAAATGCTAGTTCTATTAAGAAGCACAACAGAGATGGTCTGGGGGCGTGCAGGGTGGGCGTATCCAAAATCGAAGTAAATAAACGCAGATTTATTTTCAGCTTTATTGGATTTACTGTTCTTAAGGCAAAGTATTTTTTCGACAGTCAGTATCCTGTGAATAACACGCTTTAGGCCATAGGACTCTTGAAGTGGTCTATTTACCTCATTTTCGATTCCAGCTAGATACTGGATGGCGATACAAAGCTAATAATACCCGTAGGGATGAAGTTCCTTCACTTTCAAAAGTAGATAGAACAGAGGCTGCCCGTTTAGTAAAATTTTACCTCCTATTTATAATATGAATTATTTGAGTACGAAGACAAGGTAGTTGAGTGTGTTAACCAGTAAACCAATAAATAAACAAATATGCTTTGAAAACGGATTCTTTTGCACGTTTTAGACCGTATCAACACGCCCGCACTATGGGAAGCAGGTTTTCGTTGGCGAATATTCCACCGTTAGATGGCAGTGTGGCTATAAGGGCCTAGTTTGTTTCGAACTCTCCCTCTCGACCCTCTCTTATACCACGAGCCAGGCATTACCGCCGTCAACGGCTTAACTCTTTAGGCGAGTTGTCTGCTGTGAGTTGAGTTCGTAATGACGTAACGTACAAAGAAACGGCGTCGCCCGGGACTCAAACCTGAAACGAAAATGAGGCATTGATTTTATCCAATCTTTCCCGGACTATTTTTATTCTCTCAAATGCGCTTTTTTTGTTTCATAAACTTTTCGTTTTTAGAAAGGCTTATCTTGGCCCCGTTAGCTAGATCAAGCCATTTTTCCGTATAAGTACCGCAACTGTTTCAATATGCTGTTCACGGCAAAATAGTTTCTTTCATAAGCATTGTAACCGTAGAAACGTTGCCGACCAAGATGTTTCACTCATTTGTCAGTGGGCATAATCATAATTCGTAAAATATAGACCCCTACTAAGGTTCGCAGGGTTTTACAAACCCATAAGAAGTCCTAAGCCTAACGTGAGCGGTCAGCATACCCGCATGTGGGAGCTAGTCTTAATTTCGTTCTTCTCTCGTGCGGTTTTTGCCAGGGAAGCTAAGAAGCTTTCTATCCAATCCTAATGGAATCCTGATTACAACACGAGACAGACGTCTCGTGTTTTTTTTTTCATTTTTGTTTTTTTTTTTTTTTTTTTCATTTACTAATGGTTTTTGCGAACTCATGTTTATGTGGTGGTTACTAAGTCTAACTATTGTGCATTCTCTGCATTCAGTATCTTCGTAATGTAACGATTTAGTGTCGTCTACAAAGAACCACGTCGCGCTCAACTTAGTTTTGGTTACCCTGCTTTACGTTAATTGAGAATCACAGCTATTTTTTCGGGGACCTAGCGTCCAGGCTAGCATCGTGGCGGGTCGATCGTGCCTGCTCGATGACGACAGCGACAGTTGCTGCCCAAACGCGTCTGCCCACGAGCCGGCCCATCAACTTGTTCCAACGTACTCTATTTTTTCTGCTACATTTTCGTTGATGTAATTTTAATGTGTGCATGTACATGTATATGTCCTTTCCACTGCTAGCGAGAGAAATCATACAAGTGTAATAGCAAGATGAACATGAATCAGTTGTTCATACATGCTCGAAACAGTATGCAAATGCAACTACCTGCTCTCAATCTCTATCTTTTTTTTTTATTATAGCAATACTACTACTGAGCAACGACGATAGTTAACGAAATGACCTGGAACAGGTTAGGTTAGGCGACCAAGTTTACCTAGGGCGTCGAATTATACCAACTAATTCATCTACGGAACGTTGGGTCCGGATCACAATTTAGCAGAGTAACTACGGTTATAGTCATAGAGTTTCAAAATATAAGGAACGCTTCAAGGTTAACAGATAGGACAGCTGCTCTCAGAACGATTGTCGCACAGGACTGGATAGAATAGTTTTCTCCAAAGCGGAATTAAGAGCGTACGCGTGTGGTGTAACGCGTTTGCCAAACAATAGATTCTCGATGGTATTTGCTTGAGTATATCGATCAGTCCGATTGTCCACAGTTGGATGCCGACAACCTGACCTGCTGACAGATCAATTAATACCATCGATTATCGATCACTGCGCACTGATGATAAAATTGCTCATACCGTTTGAATGAAGAATGATGATGACATGAAGACTAACAACGTTCAACTTCGATTGCTGTTAACGAAGAATTTAACTTGCATGTGTAAAGTTAAGGTTAGACGCAGCCCTATCAACTATGAATCGTTGAAAGTCGTCGTTTTCAGTCGTGCGTACTGATATTAGGGTTGCGTATTTGGTCATTTTTTTTCATTGTTTTTATGATCAGCTCCAGAAGCTACACTGTCTCGAAAGCCTCTGGGGCGTGAATCTTCACCACTGGGTTACAGTTTCTTTTTTACGAATCGGTGAAATCTTCGACTGCAGAATTAATATATTTCAGCATGCTTTTTGCCACAAGGTCTTCTCTGTTTCTGCGAGGATGGGAGAATAGAAACGCCATAGGCTACTAGGATGGATGTAACTTTTCGGCTAGCATATTATTAAGTACACATGTTTCATATAGGCTGTTCTGAAAGAATAAATAAAACAAATGGTTAAAAAATTTTTCAGGTTCAGACAAATGTGCCCACACCGCACCGTGACGTATAACGAAGCGAAGAAGCTTGAAGTACATTAAAATACTTCTGTATACAACCAATTAGCAAATGATTGATTCTGGCGTCCATCGTCGTCTGATTCTCAGAAAGAAGAACCTGTTATTATCTTTTTCGTAACGAGATTTTATTTAGAGCTTATTAAAAAACTTGCATATTACATACGGTATTGTACCATATTGCCATCAACGCACATCCAGTACATAAACAGGGTACGTATTACAATAACATCAGTATAATAGCGATGCCTTTCATTATTGCTTTTCTTTTTTTTTTTTTTTTTTTTTTTTTTTAGCCGTTTCGAAATAATGCTCAAAAGAAGCAAAAGCAAGAAACCATATCAGCTTAAAGGAAGACTATAGCTGGAGACAGCTTAATATTACAAATTTGATTTTAAATTAAGTGCTATTATTTCTTCGGTATTCAATTAATTTTTACTACGTGTTCGATGAACCATCAGTCACTGACTAACGCTAAAATTCCTGCGGGGCGTTGAACATAAGAAGAGAACTGTTTTTGAGAATTGCTGCGAATGGCCTTCTCGTATAACGTTCCCCCCTTACTTCCTCCTAATTCAAATATGGGCAATTTTCTATCTCGATTTAAACATATGCCTCTTAACTTACTTCCGGTGGGCACCTGCACGGAACGAGACATTCGAGACGTAGAATCCGTTTGGGCCATCGCGTTAAGTTAGGTTTTTCTAGTCCAGTGACATGTCCGCTCTCCACATATCGAGTCGAAGATACAATTAAGGATAGGCGCAGCCCAAAGCTTGTTCCACCCACAGGGAAGCAATCGGGGTAGTGTCGTAGCTTTGTCACAAAGAGGAACACCAACTGCTAGCGCAGCTGTTTTTTCCCTTGGACAAACAAAGACAACTTGCGTGTCACTTGCTTCGATGTCAACCCTACCTAGTCCTGGATTAATTAGAAGTATAAATCCTTCGTCGTTTTCTCCGTCAGTTCTGTCATCAGCTCCACGTAGAGGCTGTTGACGGGCCGCATCACCAGCAGCTTCCGCCGCGAGCTTACGACCGTGCCCGTCATGTAATTTCCTTAGTTAGAATTGCTGCTCGATAGCATAGTGATCCCCGCGCGCGAGGTCTAATCGTGCGCCCACTTCCAACAATGGCGTAGTTAAGCTTTTCATATCGAGACTTACGTCGGCCACATAGCTGAGCATGAGGCTGGCCGCCATTGGTGGGGCATTCAGAAACTGTTTTCGTACTTCGTCCACGACAAAAATTAGCGCTTTCATCTAGAGTGCCCAGTTTGTGGAAAATTTCGAGCATTTTCAGCCAACAAGGTCGCGAGGTTAGAATGAAGCGACCGACAGATATTTGAAACGTATCATTAAAGTATTCTCGTGTCATACGGCGTTAGGCGAAAGAAAACAAATGTTCCCTTTCGAATGTGGGCTCGATTATTGAATACCGTCCGATCTGCGCCAACCCGCTCAGAAAGAGCGTAGCATTTTTTTCATGAAGTTAATAATACGACCCTCATCAATGTCTAGCTCGAGGGTTTTAATGTCTTCCATACTTGAGAACAGTTGCTCCGGCTCTATTCTCCATTCAATGCCATGTGCGTCCCGAGTCTCCTGAGCCCTGCGAAAAAACGAAAGGCCTTCAGGCTGAAAAGGCAAGATGCGTCTTCGCTGCAGATAACCCACTTTGAGAAGTTCCAGTTCCGTAGCTGCTTGCTTAGGCGTGCGCAGCGTTCCCGTGACAACCAGCCCCATTGCCGACCATTCCCCAACCTGCCGCTAAAAGAAGTGGGCTCCCAAAAAATTGTTGCCAATATATGCTACTTCAGCCTCAAACATCGACCAAACCTGCACAGACAACGTAGCGGTGTTATGTTGATAAAGGTTATTGCACATATCTCGCACGGTGGCATCCTGAACGGACAGACAGTGTTAAACTAAGATTTCCAACACGTCTTGTATCGTATTTTCGCTTAGGCTATGTTTCATATTTTCCCATAGTCTCGGCACGAGCCCTATAGGCTTTGCAAGGTATTTTAGCTAAAGAGACCAGCTCCAGGCCTATGGCTTGAATAATACAGCAGCTATGGCCTCCATTGTTAGGCTCAGCATGCATCTTTTCGATGATAAACCTGACCAGTACTAGATCTTTATGGCATATTGCCTAGTATAGCAAATTTTGCCCAATTGGCTCCTCAGGATAACCTCGTCGTTCATTGAGATATTTTTACCGAATTAGCGGCTTCGGTCTATTTAGGAGCATGTTGCGATAACGGTTTTTCAGCAGATTTCAGCATGTCATCGCGACGGAGGGTAGCCAAAGTTTCAGCCTGATTGGATTCCTTTTCAAAATTGAGAAACTGCTATCCACTCTTCCAGTTTGAGGCATTCTCAATAGCTCCGTCTAATTTAAACTGTGTAATAGCGTGGCAATAAGCAGACATACAGATTTCTCCAATTTGTATATATCTTTATGTATGCGTATGGTATGCGGTATCCTAGGAAAATATTGTTGAGTGATAAAATGTCCCAAACCAACCAATTTTTTTCCTTACACTTTCTAGTATACACACAAACTTGCCTTTCTAACCTTTTTATATATGAATATAACAGAGCACATGAACCTTACATGACGGAGTAACAATTTATATGAACTAACGTAACCACAAAGCCCAGGTCTCCTTTTGCCTCTGGCTCTGTTTTTAGGGAATCAGTTCTGCGCAAAAGACAAATAAAATTTTTAAAAATTACTGTTTACGGGGCTACATCAAGCATATACACGTTCTAGACTAACCAAAGCCGGTTCGTTATGCGCAGTGGAACTAAGGAATAGATGGCACCATTCATAACGTTTACTGGTCCCACGTAAAAATGATAGGGTTTAGCTTTTTCGCAACTCTATATAATTGCTGCTTTCTCTTACTGAGCCAAACTACAAAATAAACATATTGTCACCTTTCATTGATCCTTTCTGGCAAACGATTCGTTTACTCTAAACGAGTTCCTAATGCGTAGGGCTATTCGGCCCGATGACATAGTGGATATGCGTGTTGTAGACCTCGGTTAAACACATTTCTTTCGGGTCGCCGATGCAGATTCTAACAAGTTGCTCTAGCTAGGCTATACCGAGCTAGAATTTAGCGCAGATTAAGTAGAATTATGATACCACTAAAGCATTTACAGGCCCCATTTACAGATTTTACGGTTCCGCGATACGTACGTAAGCATTGTTCGACGCTACGAACGTTCCTTCTTGCAACCGAAAGCGGTTTTTCCACAGAACGCAGTGAAAAATAAACTTCGTACTTGACGCAGGCTTTTCCACTGTAGAAAGTACCTACGATCGATTTTTGCATCAATAATTACGAATACGATTGTTTAACAGAACATATAACTGCAAGGTTGACATCTAACTAGTAAGCCTGTTTCGCTAGTGGCAGGTCATCAACTATCTGATCTGAAAGGAAGTATATGTGCGTGTGTGGACTTCCATTCGATGGACGAAGACAGTGAATGAGGGTGAATAGGAGTGAACGAAGAGAGTGAATTTTGAATAGCTAAACGTTTGGGCTTTATGTCTGTATTGTGCATCTTTGATTTATGAGTAATCGTAGAGTCCGCGAAGGGAGTTAATTCGATTGAGGCTATATTATACAATGATCGGTTAAGTTGTTGAAGCGCTCTTTTTGGTGTGGAAAATATCTAGCATGTTGAAGCTGAAGTTCAAACGGGATTAGAGACAGATGCAGCCAACAACAAGTTCACTATGTATATCACAGATAATTATGATATGATTATCAATGTTGCTTAAAAAACCTCTTTTTCTCCTCACATAATCCAGATGCTCAGTTCGAGACTCTACTTCATTCATTCAGGTAAAAAAAAAATTAAATCTTTATATTTTGTTTAAGCTTAGCCACTTCCAGTCTAATTATATCATATTACAGATGTTTTTTTTTTTTTTTAGTCATATATTATTTATAACGGGGTCAATGTATTTGCCCGATTGGCTCCATCTTTTTTTGCAGATTTTTCTAGAGAGGAGGTTTAGCTACACATAAAAATGAGGTGAACCAAAACCCACTGAGGAGTTATTTTGGATCGAACAAACCCACACGCTTTGACGTTGAGTATCATATGTAACCCAGATAAGTAGATATGTCGTAAAGTGGCTTCAATAAATGAATGAATGAAACAATAATGTCACGAAGAAAATGTCACTGACTATTTATTGACATGATGAAGCTGTTGAAGGCTAAAGGAGATTTGAAAGCAAATTAGGTTGTTCAGTTAGCACGCCGTTTAACATAAAATACGAAAAACGTTCGTTTTAAAATGGCGCGATTTTAGAACTTGCAGCTCGAAGAATCACGGGTCGAGGAGCTAAAAAAAGTTTAGCCTAACTTTGGGCCATTGGTTAGTAATGTAAAGCGAATCTATAAAACTTGTTCCAGAAGCCTCCTTTTTAAGCCCCCTATGTGTAGCTCCGATACACTAGATCTGCCAGATTTTTGTCAGAGGTTGCCCAGTCTTGCTAGAGTTCCAGGGAACTTACTTTGGCGACGTTTTGAGCTCAAGACGTCATACTACCACTACTGATGTCGATCATCATAAGACGCCAAGTGGACAGCAGGAACGAGACTTCGTGTTGTCCAGAATGATTTAAAAAAAATTTCAGGTTTCCCAATCTCAAACCGTGCGGGCCGGACGAGCTACTTGGTGAGCACATAATGCTAACGTTCGCTGAGCTAGTTTATTTAATGATTGAGGTAAAGATTCCAACAATCAGGAAGAATTGTACAATGGTGATTATCCTTATTAGACGAAAAAGGACCACACGGACCCAAAATCACGGAGAGGAATCGCAAAGACAAGTTACATCTATAAACTTGTGTCAGATGTCCTCGTACAGCAGTTGGCAGTTTATTTTTGCCAGAGTACTGTGCAACCTTGCCGAACGACCAGTATGAGTTTCGTGCTGGTAGATCAACAATAAAGGTTTGCGAGATTTTCGGAAACAAAACAGAGACGAAACTAAGTCAGCTTTTTTGCAAAGTGATCGTAGATTTCAAGGTAGTTCTCGATCCGGGCTTGAGAACCGTCATACTAAAAGAGCTGATATGACTGGCCCTTCCGAACGTGCTAGGTTTACTACAAGACCTCGTTGACAGTAACTTCATTACTTGACAATATATATATTGCTGATGGTGTCGCAGATAAAGTCGAAATCAAACGAGCGACGTCACTAGCAGAACCCGTTCATCTCTGTCAGTTACTCTTGATACTTCCCATCAAAGACTTCCCTTTACGTATCAGGCAACGAGAACGTTTCGTGAAGATGATCCTATATGTGGACGACTTCGCCATGAACAGCAAAAGCAGATTCAACCCTGATTCTCAAAAGCAGATTCAATAACCCTGAACGACTGCGTTGTCGAGTTGAGTCGTTAAATTAAAAAGACGAAGACAAAGGCATAGAAGTTAAGAAGGGGAAGACTTCCTAGCAATGATTCGTTTCGTCTGAATGGAGCTATCCTAAAAACTGACAAGTCGCTCTGTGTATCTGCGCTTGAAGCCCGGCAACATGGAAATCTTTCTCTGATTACACAGCTAGAAAAAATTGTCACAATAAAAAAATCCGCAAACGTTATCAGTCAAAACAGCGATCAAACTAGTTAGTTTGAACGTTGAGCCGACTTATACATACGGTATCCTAGTCTCCTAGGAGGTACTAGGTGTCCGGAATATGCTAAATAAAGCACACATTCTAGAAAATGGCGCTAGGCCTCCACGTAAGAACTCCAACCATCTAATACACCTATTGACCAACACTCCGCCGTTCATCAAATATATGCGAAATACGTTTAACATTGCGAAAACCGAAGCATGCAGGATATTTACACAGTCACAAGGCTTAGAGCTAATCGATGTAGATTATATTTCCTAGTTCGAGCTGAGATCGACAGGAACTAGATCCACGAGCAGACATCGGTCTTTCGTACTTTCAACAGGCGAATTACAGTGCACCATGACAAGTTGGTGGGTTTATGTGAGGGGTTTATGAATATGAGTTTTATCTTAGAATCGTGACGGCTCGTTGCATATATTCGGTGAAAGATCTCTCACTGGGCGTGCACGTATGTATAATTAGGGTATTTTTAAAGGGAAAACGTCCACTCATTTCGAAAATGGGTCGAAAAAGTGAATAACGTGGTTTCATTGAGAACTAATAAAACCAAGCCATCTTAAACTGCACGGGTGTTTATACATAAGTTTGCAGTATGTATCATATTTGTTCAGCTCGCTCAAATGAATAACGTAAAAAAAAAATGGAAAATGGGTTACCTGTGATATGGCCAGGACCAAAATGGAAATGTAGATATGCTCGGGTGGCCCATTCTTGCGTCGAACTGTGACTCGTCATGAACCCTGAATCATTTACAGTAATCACGGACCGTCTGATCAGTCATTAGATGCAACTGAATCGGCGACGCACAAGGAAAATGTATGCTTACAGAAACCCATGTTATCTGTTTGGCAATGCGGATATGCGGGCAGCTTCTGGTTCGTCGATCACGGCTTCTGTGTGTTCTGTCAACAAAGGTAGACCACTGCAATTGTAAGACAACGCTCGATGCCACACTGTACAGACTACGGTGGCGAAAATGCGAAGAATCTAAGGCTGTCATCTGCCATACGTATCAAATATTTCTTCAACAGATTATCATTTTTATCAAAATCTTGATAGTATATTAGCAGGGGAAATGCTCAACGCTTTCTAACACTCGAACTCCATACTTTGATAACAACCGAATAAATAGATAGAAGATTATGTATAATAATAGTGCGTACTGCAATGTATATATATATGAGCAGGAAATAGCAGAATATATATATATATATATATATTTCTATTATTTTCCGATAATTAATTAGTAAAATGTTAGGCAGTACTTTGGACTTCTAGCACGACACAAGGTATGTCTACATCCGGCTTCAAGCTTCGTACCTATCCAAGGCAAATAGAGCGCATATGTTCTCCTAAGTAAATGGTGTTAATGAAAATAGTACCGGGAACAGCGGCAAATGATATAATGTATGATCGTATGTAGAGGTGCTACGTTTAGGATAAGATAAAAAACCGGATTGATTTAAGCTTCAACTTAACGCAAACTTTTTCACGAACCCTGTAGACTAGCAAGTAATGTTTGTCTGGCTTATATCCGAACGGCTTGTTAGAACACAAAGTGACATTCGAGCTAAATAATCCGTGTGAATTTCTCAAAGTTCAAGTTATCCATCTGAGAAGCTAACTAAGCCTAAAACTCGTCGGAGTTTTCACGAGCGAAAAAAAAAATTTTAAAAAAAAAAATGTTACGATGTAATCGCATGTACTCTACACATTTGATTGAGCACTAGCGTATGCAGTAGGTTCTTTCGCTAAATGTCTCTGTGTTCCGGTTATTGTTATCGTCACGATCCTTTACGATTTCCTTTTTAACCGCATTTACGTTTTATGATATACTGCCTTTAAATTTCTGCTGCTTTCCTTTAAAGCTGATCACTTATCTATTTAACGAAGTATGTCGATTGGGATAAAAATATCTTATAGACCTGTATTGGACTAATCATTTGCATGTATCTGGTAAATTGAATCAGGACATACATATATATATAAATATATGTATGTGTATGTAGATGTTAGATATTAGATTTAAAGTTTGGAGATCGATACTTGCCCTTTATTTAATCAAAAGATAATGCCAGCGACCTCTAGCGTATGCTACTACGTAACTGTTCAATTTTGTTGCATATTTGAGGCCTTAAGTTGCTCGAGTCAACCATCCATCCAATTCATTTGTTGATAAAAACTGACGTCATATTTAGAGGTGAACTTTATTCTGTCTTGGGGATGGCCTCAGCCGATAATGGACACAGGCTTAAAATAATAGTGTGTAGTTGAATATGGTGGGAGGAGCTCTTTTAGCCAAACGTTTAGATTTGTATTTGGTTTATCAGATGTACGTCTATGCCGCACCCTCGCTCAGGGTCATATAACACAGGTCGGCCACTTTCAGGATGCGACGGACGTCAGAGTAAAAACACTACAAATCAGGGCGATGTTGACGATGATTTTAGAGTGTGTGTTGTTTGTTCTAGTTGCTCACTGTTTTCCCAGGTAAGTTTGTTCACTTAGCCGCTAACTACAAACTGACCCTACTAATGCAAATGAATACGAACAGTGTGCGCAGTAAAAGCATTTATCTGTAGATGTACAGATGTAAGATGTACAGCTTGTAAAATTCGTTCTTCCTTTGTTAATGCTATGGTTTAAGAGGGAACGCTGGCTCCGGCTCTCGACAATGGTTTACTGAAAGGGCGAACCTTCGGCCGTTAGGCTCCTATAGGACGAATGTAGTGGTGTCTGGAACTACAGTTGCTGAACTAGGGTACACACGTACAGGAGAACTAGCTGCCTGTAGATTATCAGAGACCAAGTGAGTGACAACTTACTTAAGTCACTTTTGTCATTGTTTTGATACGTTTAAAACGAGCAAATCCGGAGCTGTGCATCGAATTGTTCTGTGTGAGTCTTCAAGCCGAATCAAACGTGAAAATCAAAACATCCAATAGAAGAGTTGTACGCAAACATGAGCACCCTAGGAAAGAGAGGCTTGAAGGCCTTCGGAAGATGAAACAACTAGCTCATCTCTATACGAAATTGATTTGATTCTATTGAAGTATAAAAGGCATCGTGAAGATAATGCGTACATTCGATTGTAAAAAAAATTGAATTTTTCATTTGAGGGACGACTACGAAACGCAATGGCTTGCGCGCCGTCTAAGCAGCTCAGCTCGAGAGACCAATCTTGAAGAAATGCTAACCCTAATTCAACTGTGTGGAAAGCTGGAAGCGTCTCACGTTATGAGCAATGTCAGCTACTTTCGCACGTATCCAGGTAGATTCGCAATGTTCTCCGCAGACCCTAGTCTGTTTATTGTTATGACAAGTTCGTTTTCATATAGTCCCACATTCGTGTAGATCTACTAATGATTTCTGTATTGCTCAACGAAAGGCGTCTATTGTAGAGTTTTATAGTACATGAACCATGATATATTTATGCTAATATTCTATTGGAAATTTTTGGCAAATTCGAATTTGTCATCAGATCATTGATTGAAGAAATCTCAACTTTCTGGCAATACGATTTCAGGCACCCTGTGGTGCGGACCCGGTGATTCAGCGTCATCGTACTTTGAACTTGGGTCTAATGCTGTGATAGATCGATGTTGTCGGGACCATGACCTTTGCCCTATACGTGCCGCTCCGGGCGAAATTAGTGTTCCTTTGACATGGTATAGTAAGCCCGCTGGGTCATCGACAAACCTTTTCACCATTTCTCATTGTCGCTGCGACGCTGCATTCAAAAGGTATTGTATCAAAATCAGCGTCCGAATACTGACGCTCCACACTATGGGGATGTCACTGTCTTACGATCTACTATAATTAAGTGCAAATTACGCTACTGCTAAGAAGACGGCCAAATCATTCAGACCAGTCCTACTGCAGGCGCATTACCATGGTGGTCGATGGCGCCTAAAGGAATCAGTTAAATTTTTACCAAATGTTGCCTCGCTCAACAGACACAATGTATCAAAGCGTGTGGATAAGGACGTAGCCGGACGAAGTGAACATTTTTTTGTTCTCTCTCTCTCACTCTCTTAAAAAAGTAAAAGGGGCTCTTTTTATTTGTTAAAAGCACCTCTCTTGTTGATGTTTTTAGGTGTCTTCATGAAGCCGGTGCTATTGAACCCGTCGCTGCCAGAGCACTAGTATTTCTCTACGAAGTCGTAACCCGACAATGTTTGGGTGACAATGGTCAACTTGTAGCGCAGCAAGTTAACTTTTGGAACCTTTTTTGACAACCGCGCGATGTTGAATCCGATTGAAGACTTAATACTCCAGTCATTTCGTTTTATGGGTACATCGCACTGTATTCAATCTAACAGGTCATCAGTGTCGGATACGCCACTAGAAACTATGCGGATGACGACAGAAAATGATCTTTAAAATCCTCCTGTTCGTCTAACAAGGGTGAATAGGTTTATTTATTGCCATTTCTGTGCACTGTGTTATTAATAAAACCTAATTAGTCTAACGTTCCTTAAGCTCGTATCTCTGTCCTAAAGATTTCCATCACAACAGTGATTCACAGTGAACTTTATCTCACCACTCTTGAGTCCTGCAAGCGAGATATCTATGAAGATATAAGAAGAAGAACAGGCGATTAGTGACAACTAGAGTCATATTTATGGAATATTGAGGAAGGTGTTCCGCTATTTCGAAGACAGTCTCCGTCGTTTTGGCTATTGCAGTGTGTAGCCAGCACTCGGGCCAGACGTAGTATTAATAAAATAGCAGTTCTTTTTATTTTGCATTTATCAGCTTTCGTAGTCGACCTACATAGAGGTCGGTATTTTTTAGGTTGTGTATCAACTGGAAGGAAACCAGAATGCTCGTTATGACGCACAAACTTACCAGCAAACTTTGCCCAAGTTAGGCTTATACTAGGATGACAATGTATGTACAGTCATGAGTTTAGATTCGTAGGTCTATGTCTTTAACGAAGCTGATCGGGGTTTACAGACACAGTTTTACTGATTGTACCTACCGATTTTCTGGGAATAAATGTCGTGTAAGCGGAGGGCTCCTAAGCGCTGGCGTCAGAGGTGACATCTAAGTGAGGAACTTGGTCGATACTTTTGGTAGAATCGCTTGCCACTCTTAGCGTTGCACGCATCGGTTCTGCGACGTGCTTTTAGATTAATTGAGGAAAGGCCATTGCTAAAACCCAGACATGTTGATACTGTAAATAATAAAACAACAGTGGGCCTATCCTGCAATTAATCTCTACCGTTTTTCAAATATTCACTCAGCTTATCATTTCGTTGCACGAAATGATCAAGGGAGCCTATCAGCGTTTTTACTATTCTGCAGGTCTCTAGAGAATCTACATTAGCACCGTGTCCGCGAACTTCAAAATGTACTTCAATCAATCTATTTGCCTTTAAGCACCAATAAATCACCTAGTAGTTTCGAAATTGTCTTCATTCTCGATGAAATTCTGTATCGTAGGAGCATGCTCATAGCGTGGCTCTAGTTAACCGCAATTCTATGTTAATTGTCATTTACATAAAACCAGGCCCTCGACAACAGTATGCGCAGTTGGAGCGATCGCAAACAGCGTCAAGACAGCGGACGCGTACATCACTACCATTTGTGTTCGTCGAGATTGGCGCTCACAGCAGCGAACCACGGAAAGCACTACGATTATTCCTTCATGGAAATGAAACAGTATCAGATGTTTCACTAGAAAAATGTCTATAAAACACACGCTCTTATAAAAGAGGTTCTGCTAGCAATCCGCCTACGGTTCGTATCTTCAATGGCCGTTCGATATTCCAAACATCCCGTTCATCGACGCTTACGTGAAGCCAATCTCTTCGTTTCGCATATGGCTTGAATGAGTTTTGGTTATAACGTGTGCGCACGCATAGCTGCCTATTCAATGTAACATGTGGTAATGTAATGTGCAGAAATACGTATATATCTAGAATAATTAACGGACGACGCTAGCGCCAACGGCGCGTTATGTCTGAAAACGTTTTTGCCTAAAACGTTATCTTTGTCAGAACATGAGGAAATAACTATTATCAAACGGGTATACATTTGGTTACGCATCGTTCATCTGTATTACGGCGACCTGTTTTTTTTAGCTGCACCCCCATTCCTTTTCTTAAACCACGTTAGGTTCGTGTCTGTGTGCGATGCATGATATTCTTTTGTTCGAATTACTAATGATGAAGTTGATACTTACCACTTCTGCTAAGTTGCATACCTAAATCGCGGCACTTGCAGTCATAAAACTTAATGGTTTAGCTTGAAGCTCTTACTAATTCGATAACTTACGCATGCATATTCAAAAGGTAGGCCTTTGGAAAACCCGCAACGTGTACTCGAATGAGATAATATCAGTTTCACGTATATTTATAGTATGTGCTATGCTTTGAGTACAATTCGAAATTCTGCGCGGACATGTAAATAAATCTTTTATACATATAGAAAAAAAAACTAGCGCTGATGTTTACACCAGTAATCCAGACCTATGTATCCGAAGGTTGCACGCTGGAAATATTCGTTATGTATATGTGATCGATGCTAAGTTATAACGAAAGGACAGTGTGACATTGTCGGAGACTGATTACCTTCAAAGTTCATACTTAAAACTTTTTTCAATCACATCGTGTTTCATCACACATTCAATTGTTCAGGAAATGCTGCCGTGCTGACTATGTTTTTGTGTCTAATAACCCATGTATAATATCAGCTCGCAACATTTCTCTTTGTATAGTGTTGGGCCATTTTAAGCGTTCTGTTTGTTTGCAAATAGCGACGTTTAGAAATACGTCCTTAAGCGTCAAAAACAATATCGTCCTATTTATTTTTAGTGATCCAACTAAATGTAGACGGAATCCTTTAATAGAATAATAATAATTTAAAGAAAGCACAAAACAACTAGACTTTAGCTGTTTAAGTCTCTAGAGGAATGCTTCTCACTATAGATGATAGTAAGCGAAGTCAATCTCGACGCCATTGCGAACGCTGCTAATACGGAAGCTTCTGATAACGGTTATACAATACTGTGTAAACGTAATAGGGTCTAAAGATAATAATAAGTGTAAGTTTTTGTACAAATAATATAGGTATATGCAAAAAAAAGTACTTGATTTAATTTATTACAGTTGTCATTTGGCAGTATTGCCAACGTTGTAATGTGTCGTATGGCCGGTTACCGCAATCGTTATCTTTGCAGCGATATTTCGGGGCCTGATTCCTACCGGCGTCGTGACGAGGCACTTCAGCAAGACACAGTACAATTGCAGCTTAGAAAATTTACCTAATTAGGCTTATTTCTGCTAAGGCAGAGTTTCTTTTCAGGACTTTAGGGAATGCTGGTTACTGTGATTTAAGTGTTTCATTATTTTTTTGCCTATGAAAAGATGCAGGTATCAACAGATTGTATATCCACATAGGAATAATTAGTTATTACTTAAATATAATTAATGTATATTCCTGAAGCTACGCTGTTAGCCGATGTCTCAATATAAAAATCGTTCGCATTTGGTCAATATTTGGATGGCTCGAACAGAGTAATTTTAAAATATCATCACTTACTTAGCTAAAATATGGATAAGTTAAACGGAAAAAAATGCGGTATGACATTCCGAAGCATCCGTGCCGTGTATGCCCCGAGTCAGAGACAGGCAGAGCCCTAATAATAATAGATTGACTTATGCGTATCTGAGGTGCTAACAGCTTTTGTAGACGTGTTTAAAGGTTTCCAGAGTCGGAAGCTATCAAGTACTTCAGGCCGAGGTTTTCCCAACGACCCATAACACTAATCTTGAACTTTAATCTTAATCGTCCTCTCATACAGGATGTCGGATGGTCTTGTTGAATAGGTGTGGTAGTCTTTATTATTAAAGGCTCTATGGCGCATGCATTAGTAGAGAGCTCGGTATCATGTTGATGGATATCAATTTAAACCACTACATCGACAACGTATTTTAATATTCTATACTTTTAATTAATAACATTGGCTATAAAGGCATCCATAGATATAGGAAACAGACCCTTTATAAAAGCTACTTTTATTTGCTTCGTATATTTTACGAAAGGGACTTGGCATTGGTGCGCTACTGTATTTATACTGCCCTCAAAGGGCGACAGGCAAGCAGCTCGCATATTTTACTATTCCCATTTTATATCACACAGGTACCAAACTGGTAGTATAACAATTATAACGTAGCGATAACAGGCAATACTGTGGAAAACCTCGTAACCTATTTGTTTTAAAACCTAGTGAAGGCAGATTAAAAATGGTTAAATGAATCTCTATATTTTTTATGGGTTACTAACGGTAATAAAATACTGATTCGGATAATGGGAGCTGCGCAGCAAAGACATTTTTGCAACGCGGATTTATACACACCATTGCGCAGGTATTCTAAAATGTAAGGTTCATATGATAAGATCGTTTGGGTCGATACCACCAGAAGCAAAGAAGTTAGAATTAATTATAGTTATTCAATCCGACCAGTCCCTCACATGCACAAGTCAGCTACAGCGTTTTCGGTCAACAAGTGAGTTCGCTTTATCTGTCAATAGCTTTACTTTTAAGAATATGGTCGTTACACATACGCTGAAGTTTGTCAGCAGTCTCTCCAGACTTTATCGTCCCAAATGTCTTGAACACTGGCGAATCCTTCGCAAGCTCGGAGCATTTGCCCCTCTATCGCCTTCGAATCTGCAAAGGAAAATTCGTTTTTCCAGTCGCCTACGATTCCTTTTCTTACAAAGCAATCTGGCGGAGGGGGCGCGCGATCGCATGGGTAATCTGAACGTGCTTTCCTGTAATGTCAGTAGTAAACCCTTTAAGACCTCATACGAAGGTTTTTTGCGTGGCAAATTTTATGAGTATTCTGTGTATGATCCTACTTTCAATGGTATATGCATATATGCGCCTCGCATTTTATAAAACAAATGCACGCCTGGCGAATCAATGTGTCAGAAATGCTCCGGAACACGCACCATCCAGTCTCACTAGCTCCGGCAAAAGCAGTTCTGTAGTTCTCTTCAACATAGTCCTTCATAGCGTCGATGCCACTCTCCTTAAGAACGTGCTGAAACTTAGCAGAAGATGGGTCCCTTAGCTCGGGACATGGCAATCCCAAAAATGCGATAATTTTCTGGATCTCTTTGACTGGGTCCTGTTTCATGTTTTCATAGGTCAAAAACAATACGTTAGGCCTGCAAAAAATACGGAAGGACGTTAAAACTTAGTTTGTTAAGCGCATACTTACGTCGCTTAATTGGTAGGCTTCGTAAGCCTCTGGGAACCTTAACTTGGAAAACGGACTCAGCATATTCATTCACATCATTTGAGCGCAAATTCATTTTGACGTCGTTATTCTGCCAGTATTTTCCGGTTCCCGAATCCTTAGTTATCAGGCGTATTCTTCGTGCCTCAACGTTCCTCCGTTGTTTACTCTAGACTTATTTGTTGAGACATCGGTCGGAGTTCCGAGATCGGAGACATCAATCTGAGAGTAAGTTCCGAGAAGTCGGAAATTGTCTATTAAAGGAAAAGTTCTACACTATTCGCGTTCGTTTGTTGATTGATGCCCGTCACTGCGGCTGTCGCAAATGCTCGCGACCTACGATATCGCAAACGCGACAAGAGTAACGACAGTTATAGACAACTTTTCCCTAGGATTGTTGTAGAAGAATCGTCATTCTAGGCGAAAGTAATAAATATATCAAAGTTCGGTATTCCGCTAGACATTACAACCCGGCATTATTATAGCTTCGAGATAAACATAGCATCAAGACGCTAGCTTTGTTTCTCCTATGAATACGCGAATACGTATAGGTACTTTAATGCTTTGTTTTTACCTGTCCTTTTGAGCATACCATTGGCGAAAATGCTCAAAATAGGAGCCGAAGCTGGTTTCGCCATTAAGAAAGGTTGTGACGTAATCGGTGAGCGTTCCATTTTCGTAATCGTAAACCTGTTGACAGATACCAGTTGTTAGGGTGTACCATTCACGATTCAAGCGGCATTGAAAAGAGAAAAAAATAAATTCGCCGAATTATCGAAACATTTCCAGGTGACTGTTCCAGCGATTTAGTTGATAGGGCACGAGATAACTCATGACGAGACAGCTATTTCAAACGGTTTTTTACATATTCTAAAAGAAAAAAACAATTAATGGTCTTATCATAAGAAAATGGTAAATGTAAACTTCACTTTAGTGGTTTTAATAAGAATAATTGTGCGTTAGAAAATCTGATTTTAGAAAATGACCATTTTCTATGATTATCGTCGCAATTGATTTAAGGTAAACCAGTCCTTAGCCAACAACTTTTCTTATTTTGCTATAGGACTAAGGTCATCTTTTGTCACCCTTTGGTCACCCCTATTTATTGTTTCGTTTGCTGATGGTCAAACGTCAGATACTAGAGGCACGACATGATATTTTTGCATCAGTTTTAACCTTATTGTTAGTCTGCTTTGTAAAAGTGGGTGTTCGAGAGGTTAAAATGGCATTTTTACTGAAACGCGATTTGCTGATTTTAATTGAAATAACATTTCTCACTCGTTTTTGCTTTTTTTATAAATCGTTCTTAAAATATTTATAAATCCTTAACCTTTTTGACGTCGAAAAAAAAGGTCATCTGAACAAACCGGCAACAAGGGTCTTCTGAAACCACCAAGGGCTTCGGGATCGTAGTAGCAATTGGAACTCTTAATAAATATTCGTCCAGTTCTCGTTTAAATTTAACCTATGCTTATCATGGCGTATAGTTACACCGGGGTTTCGTAGGCCATTTCGAGATTTTACTTCAGGTAAGTTCGACACGACCCACTTTAGCTAGATCTCCTGATAGAGGTACGTCCTTGGCGCTCTGTCCAAGAGGTGATTCCAGTAATTTCCTCCGAAAGAGAATACAAAAAGATAAAACGGACACTTGAAAAGGGATATATTAATGAAAAATCAAGGAAAGTTCTCATTTCTTTAATGAACACATCTTATTATTTGTGCCCAATTTTACATTTCCTAGATGGCCTTTAATATACATATTGCGTTACCAACCTTCGTTCGCTTTGTGTGATGGAAGTATGATACGCAACAGTCCTTAGGGTTCCGAAGAACGTAGATATATTTGGTGTTAGGATTCCATGGAATTTCCTTAAAATAGAGGTGCGAGGTAACGATACGTGGTTCGGGCTGACTGGAAATCACCGAAGCCCCTGCAAATGCACATTATACAAATTGGACTATTTGTACAATCTAACAACAGTATTATAGATACGAGAGGTAATTACTCTGTTCAAAATCGAGAAGAGCACAAGCCTTATCTTTCGTGGAGACTGCGAAAACTGGTTAGATATATGATGTATATATATATATATATATATATATACGATTACTGAATTTTTTGCGTGAGGTAGATGATTCACTAACAATTGGTTAATACTGATAGATAACCTTCGGAGCTTTTTTCTTAATCTAGAAACATAAAACACAAAAAAATAATAACAAAAAGTGCGTTTCGCTAGTGTTAGACTAATGTTATATATCCCTAGTATTAAGACAGCAATAAAAACAGTAGTCTCACACTATCTATTTTTTGTATCTGGTGATGCTAATATTCTTTTTTGGCTCGTTCCGCATTTAGGACGATTTCGCAACTTGAGCTTCTCTGGCATTAGAAGTCTTCATCACTTGTTTATCTTGAGGGCAAGAATCCTGTTACGACTGAGAAACCTCGGGCGGCAGGAACCTTGGCGAACGTTACTAGGTCCGCCTGAGCGCTTGAAGAGCCTCTTGGAACCTTCTGCTTTAGCAGCTTCACGCTACCTAATATCGTCGGCTGAGATCCCTGCCGTCCAAGGTTGATCCGGTATAATAAGGTTCTTGCTTTCCAAATAGATGAGAGCTACGTTCGGTCATCTGAAGCTGTATAGACGCATCAAGGTGATCTAGAAATGTTTAGAAATTCGCGTTCAGTACCTGCCAGTAAGCATTGCTTTACAACGCAAGCGTAATCCGGCGACACCGAAGCGCCCTATTGACAAACTCCCTTCAGTCAATATTAATTTGTAGTAGAAGGGACGCGGTACTAACCGGCCATTTCCAAAAAGCATTTGCTGAGTCCGTAATCTGCTACCTCTCCGGTACGACTCTCGCGATCTATCAGCAATTGAACAATGCGCTTTGTCCAGTTGGTGCCGCATTTGGGAAATGTACATATGAATATGTCTGAATCCAGCGGTTTATACTTCTTGGCGGAACGAAGGTTCTCAACGTTGAAGCCAATAGGAATTTTGGTACCATCAACCTCAGTGTAGAAGCTTTTCGTTGTCATCCTGTTCGCTGTCGGCAATAGCTTAATCTGAATGAACTGAAACGGGCAAAAAAGCCAAATTTATTCGTTACGAAACATTCGATTAAGGAGCCAGAATGGCTTACCTACCGCTATTAGCGGAAACTTAGAACAATGCAATACATTTTATTCGATACAAATAAAAGTAAGGAAACCTTTGGATTTGCTCGCAGGTACGATGTGGACCATTTCATGCGAAAAGCGTTTAAAACAGCTATATAGTTTTGTAAACCGCAGGATTATCCCGATAATTTGATTAAATAAATAAAGTAGGTTCCGCGGTGCCACTGGCCAGTTAAGGGGCGCATAGTTAACGACGCGCCCACAACTAACGATGGTATGGAAAGATGTAACGCATTTTTCTTTTATTCACGTAACAAAGCTACGCTATTGCTCAACAATTCGAATTTCTGGCAGTCGAGACGAGTAGTTTTGCAAAAATTACACCAACTGGTGTTATATTTGCGTCATCTACGCTGAAACTGTTAATACACGCTAATTAGAAACCAACAGACATAAAAGTAGTACGTAGCGAATTTCGCCTTTGTCAGGCTGAACGTGGACGACTCGTTTTTCCTCTGACTTGGTCTTTTCAGCCTTCCTTTCATACACATTTTTACACAAGCAAGCTATTCTGTGAAGTACTTCCTTGCGCAAGCTTTTAGATGAAAACAGTCCTTATTTTGTTTTTTTATCAGTTATAATGGCGAATATTCGCAAGTGATGATCAAGTCCACAATCCATATTCACGTTTCGCAAGTGGATGGAGGGAGCCGATTACCAGCACGAAAGCCGTGACTGACTTCATACGTCAACCTTTGTAAATGGCCAGCCCCTATGCTTCGAGCGCTCTTTATTAGCCCTTTGGCCTCGTTTCTTTTGCCATAAACGCCGTTTGCTTATCGAAGCTGATGTCATTTGTAGTACTGCGGTGTTGCCCGTCACGCATTGTACCAAGTCAACATGTCACCAGCCGCACAGGCGTATAGTTAGCCTCTCAGCTGGTTCCGGAACGTTTATCATCAGTCAACCGCGTTTAACTTTGGAACGAAGCCTATTTTTCTGGTGCCATGTTAAGATCTGCGCGGATCGTACCACGTTATGCACATGTCTATGGCAGCTGAATGTATGTACGTGGCAACGTAACAAAATGTCTCGTTGAAAACACCCTCAAAGTTTAACATTCAGACTATAAAAGCGTTACATTCATCACAGCTTTACACAGTGTTCTGGGGGAAGGTGGCTGCGATATGAACGGTAGCAAAGGACCACGAACATTTATTCTCAATAAATAGCACAGTGTTTATCTATAGGTTGCAGTCTGGACAGCGGAGCCAAGCGGGCAAATGCAGTAGAGCTCTATTTTAGGGGGCATGAAGTAAGCTTCATGTTCACATCAAAACGAACAGTTTCGACCCAATGAACAATACACTTAGCTAGTGTGGAACCACACCGCTCCAGGGATAAACGTTACGATTGGCGCTCGAGCATTAAATATCGCAGAAAATTTCTAAAATCAAATTTCTCACTTAGAATATATCTAACTGCGATCCTAATCATTACCAATAATTCATATGATTGTTACTGTTACAATTAGATGTTCTTACCTCATTCGAGAGACGTTCTAGAACGTCGGCTTCTTCACATCCGTTTGACTGTTGCAATTCTTTCCCGCTGTCGAGGACGACGGTATGAAGCGGCCGGCAGCTTTTATGACAGCACTGACCAAGAATAGATTTAGACGATCGCACCGTCCTCGCAAACCCTGCAACTCTTCGTTCTACATAGGCAGCAGTAAATGCAGGGGAAAGGAGACCCGCCGCGGCAGCTGAGCAAAAAAGAGAACGTTACGGGCGTGAGAAGGAGCTCCTTTTGGAATTTTTATGTGACTCATTGAAAATCGCTCCAGCGGATTGATACCCTGAGTAGAATTGATAAATATCAAGACACAAACTGGATCACTAAAACGAAGATGTTTATAGATAGCATACCGTTTTGAGTTTTGTATAGACAGACTGGAATAGCGCCAAGACAGGTTATTATTTAAATAGACAAGTTTTTCACGTGTGCGGTTAACCTATCGCGACTTCTGAACATACCGGCGATAGGAAGGCCCATCTGTGAAACCTCTTCGGGCCTCTACATATGTTCCTGCAATTAATCCACTTGCAAACTGCCATCAAGATTGTAAAAATAGGCCGATCGCAATGCATCCATCCATCCATCCATCCATCCATATGCAGTGATTATTATTGAAATTAAAGACCCAGTTAAAATGAATATGAATCAATAAAGGTAGCTAGCCTGTTTAGTCCTTAAAGTACAATTTATTTACGTTTATTGACCCAATGTAATATTTGTTCATGTGATTAGGTGCGTTTTTCGTTAACGCGTGTACTACGGGACACAGTATTTATTATCTAGCTCCTCGATGTGCGCTCTGTTAGCTGGAGAATAACTTCTAATAGATGCACTAACATTTGCATTAGCGACTATTTATTTCCAATACAGATTTTTTCGACTTATTCTATTGTAACTTTAGTGTCAGCAAATCCGAATACGTCCACATGGAAAGTCAATCTCAGGCCATTTAAAAAAAATCGACAAGCCGGTTTTTTTTTTTCCACACATTCATTATAGCTATTCAGATAACCTAGGTCTGTGAATTCGAGAACGAGCTGTTACTATGGTAACGGCATAATGATTTGCAGAAACTTTGCACAATTTCGCCATAACAATGATAACTGGTCGACCCATGGAAAATTTACATGCTCACATGTGATAGTGTTTCTGGGAGCACAGATCTGCCGTTTAGATTGAAATAGACCGCATGCCGTGATTGCATTATGTTACGAATTTGTTCGCTCTATTTAGAGCACGATAATTTACGGACGTCTACTTGGGCAATTCCATCCTTAGCTATTGCAAAAATTCGAAACGGGAACCGTGTATGATAATTTCGAAAATTCGAAACTAACCAGACTAAGCCGCTAAGGCCAGCGGCTTAACGGCCGCGGCAGCGGCTTCGTCTGGTCAACGGCCCTCGTTGTCAATAAAAAAAAATAGTGAAATATGCAAACTATTTCGTGACACCTGTTTATGGCACACATTCGGGTTATACGTTGGCTAGACGGACTGTGACAGTAACATCTGTAGTGGCTCAACGAAAAGAATTGGGATTTGCTGTATGAATCTAGACCATTTTTAAATCACCACTTCCAAGTTCAGCCTAACCACAGCAGAGCCGTTGCCGCTACGATGTACTACCTCGTAAGAGGACAAAAAACTGTGAGGATATGATAATACAATCGAGCCGAAAATAAGCTTGTTGTTTGGAAAAACATCCTTTACATTCAGAGCCTGCAGAGCACCGATGGTGACCCAACAGCCGAAACTTTCAACGGACACCCCTTTTCCCCCGGCCCCCTCCTTTGTATGTGTCGCAGATAGTGACGAGCAAAACCAACGGTTGTATAGGCGTGAGGCACAGAGCGGATGTCCAGAAAGATACCGGAGTGAACTATTGACTTTGAGTCGTACCTACTCATGCATTGTCTGATCATATAGCCATCTGACAAAATATGATATTTCAGCTCCTGAAAAAGTAAGGTTCTTCTGCCCAGCGTATTTCCACGTGTGGTGGCATTTTGGCTGTTTTTTTTATATGTCACACAAAACGTAATAAATATACTATATGAGAAATGAGGAACACTCATCAGCGGATCCTGGTAATTTATTACTCCGCCTAATAAATGAGCCTAACCGTATGTTAGAAAGGATATTCATTTATGTGGAATTAATCTAAATTTGAAAATACTGCTGCTTTCCTTGTACATTCCATGCCCGAGAAGGTGACCACCCAGCGACTGACAAGACGGTGCTTCTTGTCGTTCTATAAACCTTAAATTTCATAAGAGTCGTTAACGGGTTAGTCTGGCCGTACCTAGGTAACGATTGTCGCGTTAGAGACCAGATTCCAGTCCGAAGTATATTGCCGCTTATAGTGCTCTGTTTCCTAACAAACAATTTTATTCTCGCGAGAACCTACATATTGTGGTCAAAATATCAAGTCAATACAATCCTTTACTATGACACAATGTTTATACGTATCTTCTTCTTGTTTTTTGTTGCCCGAGTCCAAGTTTTTTTCAATCTATGTGAAGTGTTAATGCTATAATAAGCAGAATATTTCTAATCTAAATTACAGGACAAAAACATCTTAATTATATCGAAAGGCTACAGACAACCTTTACAGAACAAGTATTCACTAGTAATGCTATTGCGCTAAGGTGGAGACCTCAAACAAAAGTGTACTTTTTGCGCTGTTGAATATCCGTAGACAATACACTTGCCGGCGTCGGTCCGTAGTATAAAAAGTAGTATATATATATGTCAAATCTCAATAGGTCTTTTTAGATTAGAGAACACTCCTAACATAAATAGCCGCTTAAAGTTTTGTCTATACCGTAATATTATATTATTACTTCTAAACTAAAAAGATCTACGTAAAAGTGTGTTAATATAAAAACGAATATTCTAGCTTACTCAACAATGAAATCACTTAAGATTTGCTTTAAAAACAGACCGCCAACTCTTCAGCATACGGCGTCGCTTCTGTGGTGAGAGACACAGTTGCGTATTTCATCTCAGGCCGCGCATTTTAATTGTTCGCGATGTAAAGTTTCGTTCTAAGATAATTGAAGTTGACCGGTTAACTAATTCTGCCTAGTTAGCGGAAGCACTTAGCGGTTAGCTCTCCGCTGCTTATATGGTTTAGGAAAGGACTGTATATACACATGTGTATATCTGGACGCGGTGGCTTGGACGGCCAAGCAAAACGCTAACGATACGTGATAGACAACATGCCAAATATATATATATTTGGCATGAAGATGATTCAAGCAGTTAAGGGCCAGCCGTTTAGAGCAACGCTTAACGGCAGCACCGTACGTAAATGGTCACAATATCGTAATAAACAAAACAGCTAAATCTTTAGCCATTCTTATTTTGACGCCTCCAAACGCATCCGAAGCTAACTGGAAAGCAAGTATATTTAAGTGATTCATATATTTAAACTGTATTTCAGTTTTTGGCTGAATCGGATGTCTGCCTGTTAACTATTGCATTTAGCCTAGCTAAAGGATCTGAAGCAAACGGAGCTAGATCAGCGGTGTTAAACAAAGTACATGCAGAATAGGCTTGCATTCAGTGCTCCCGGGTTTGCACCGTTTGTTTACTCTCATAGTGAGGCGACTCAATATTGCATCCGCGTAATACTCTTGATATTTTTCGTTCTCATTCATTTCCCCTGTTCGCATTTTGACATAGTCGATAGGGCTGATTCGTCAGCGGTCTCCTTTGGCATCAGGACGAAGATCGATCTTCACATTTTCGTGTTGCCAGCAGTGGTAATGGCCTTGTGGCGCTCGGCCAAATCCCGGACAACAGAAATAAAAAAAAATAGTTATTATCTACACGATTCGTTCGACAAAAAACGAAGGCATCGGTGGGACAGACAGAAATAATTTTAGTTTTATCCACTGCTTTATATATAGATACATATACATATATGTATTTTAAGACTGACGACTTTTCTTGGCTCGATTTCGATCCCTCAGGTGATAATAGATATACTTGTATTATCTGATATGTAATAATAACATACAGGATTTTGAGGAGGTATGATTGTCTATTAATATCTATCTAATAATTTTCTATTAATGTGCTCGTGACTTGATTCTCAGACAATGTGCAGCAATGTAACACGAACGGTATGCATTGCCTCATCAAAGACATCGTGTAAACAGAAAATCTGTGTATAAAAGTATACCTGGGAACAATAACGTGTGACCACTTCAATACGTTTGCACTTCGATCAAACGTATCTGTCAAAAGTAATTATTATAATTACGAATGAACGAGTGCACTTCACTCATTCTATATGTGCGTGTATTGTTTGTTATATAGGGAGGAAATAGGTACCCGTAAGAAAAGGTATAATTTCTAATGATTTTTAATTTAGCATAATTGTTTCAATAAGATTGAATAAGTTATAACACTTATGACTTCAATTTTGGCACTAGCTGAACAGCATAGGCATAGCATTGTCCTTTTCGTACGTATATGTTCGCCAAGAATACTCTTTGGATAACTGGAACTAGACCTATAGGGCGAAGGAAAATAGGCCTATAGCTTTCACTAAGCACGATCAAGATCCGTCATATTTGCGATCCGCCTTTTGTTTTTTCTCACAAAAAAGGTCGAGATTGTTCAGCTTGACAAAAGCCTAGTTGTGTCATGATAGAAGCCTACATCCTCCCACCGATAAACACAAACCGGAAAAGGTGCAACCGAACTTTTCGAATCCCATGCGTACAACTTAAACACAATGCAATTCCGACGATCATTTTCAAACTTTCCGGGAAAATGTAAAACATGCAAAGATGAAAATGTCTTATCAATTTTGTCAATTATGATTGAGGCATCAGATAATTAGCTAAATTACTCGAGAAACGATGTGAGCCCCGGATTGTATGGGGCAGCTTGGTCCGACCTCATAAGCGTTCCATTTTCCTTGCGCTGACAACGACTGAAATAACTACAGCAATACAAAATTTGACACTATCTTGTAGCCACTTTTTACTGATGGAAAAGTATGCCAACCAAGTTGATAGTGCGTACAAATAAAGCCTTAAATTAACCCTATATTTAACTGTATTAGTTTACTTTTACTACTTATAGCTATTATCTTGTTAACGATCGTTGGTTCAAGCCGCACCAGCGCTATATACTACACGATACGCGTAATAGAATATAAAACGAAGTTACATTTGGATTATGATAGCTAACTTTGGTCTATTTCTATATTATTTATTTAAGATTTTTATTCATAAAATGAGATCCTGTACAAAATGCGTGCTATTATACGTTAGAGAGGTCTCCGGCTCAGATTTGTGCCCTAATGCTAAAATTTGTTAATCATATCAATAGCACAGAGTTGTTTTAGCAGTGTTAGCTATATACACTCACTGACTTCTACGCAGCGGGTAGTATGATGGCTTAGGGAGACAGTTCCGCCCCACTGGACTAAGAGATTCGAGCTACAAATTATAATAAGTGTTATATCGATTCCCCCCCCTCCCCCCAATTAGTTCCGTATAATTGCCGGTTCTTCCTATCGGTAGTAGCACGAACGAATAGTTCCGGAGATTCTATGCTCAGACAAGCCATGAAGGTCGTTCGTTGGTGAAGACGAAGCACCGCGTGCTGGGCCCTTAATGTCTTTAATTGCTGAACGAGGTTATCCTCTGTTACACACGCAGATATCCCACATTTAAATTCAACAGAGAAAGTACGACGAAAAGTACAACGATCATACAGTTTTTCTAATAAATTTGGTGCTACTATACTGACATAATGCTCATGGATGTGGCCAGTTCCGAGAATGCTCTTACCCGAGAAGATCTACTCAAGGAACTGCGGCGACGTATGAAATCTTCTATGAGAGTGCTAAACATTCGCAGGCCAAAGTACGCGCTAATTTATACCGACATTTATTTACAGCAGTCCCAATAGAGGCCTGCAAACGACTGTACCGGCAAACGTCAACATATAGATGTTTGTGATCGATAGTTGTCGAATAGGATACTTGCGGCAGACTTATGGGATTTTCCCTTTATGGTATTTGTAATTAACTGATTCAGCGTGTTTCCATATGCATGTAATAGATAAGTACATGTTAAATATTCACCAAAAATATCTATTATTTGGTGTTTGATTAGGACAGTAACGACCGTTCAATATGCTCTGCGGTCGTTCATTAAGCGTGAATCGCGACTTCCCCTCGACCGGTTTCCAAGAGAACAGTTTATAACACAGCAGGTCATTCTTGTTGGAAGTTTCGCGCTCCGAGGTTTACAGGACAGCACTTTGACCTTTCTTGACCTTCGGGAAGATCTCGGAAATCTAGTTTACCTCCTGGATTACTTAAACATCCGTTTCCCGCGAGAAGCAGTCATTCTCCAAACTTATATCTATACGTTGCTTGCTATCACTGACGAAATATGTGGACTGCTTGAAAAAGCTGCCCAGGTTGGTAATTACATCTGATTTTTTTACGCATACACATATTTTAACTGCTCCTTACTGAAATCATGACATGGTCAAACAACGTGGGTGTAGCATGACTCCAGGTTATTATTTTCTGCTGTGAACTTAATGACATTATCAACTAGCTCAAGTTGCGTGGTAACTTTGAAGTTGACATTCAGGTCACACGAACGGATTGGCAAGCGGTGAAGTCGACCTTTCAGTATACGGACCAGCCGCAACACATAAAAATCGAATTATGCGTTCCTAAGCTCCACGATATTGAACCCTTACGCCTCCTGGGCGCTGGGGGTTTCGGGGCAGTTTACAAGGTACGAATCGGAGGTGTAACAATGGGCGGGAAACTCATTCCGGTCGAGCGTATGCATGCACCAAGACACGCCTGCATCGATAAGGTTGTAGCGTCAATGATTAATAGCCCATACCTCGTTAAATACAACTCGTGTTTTGCTACGGATAAGGCATACGTCACACTGATGGAATACATTCGAGGCGTGGATCTTAATCGAATCATTAAAGTTGGGGAACCGATCGACGACACAGTTTGTGCAGTTATTTTAGCTCAGCTCGGTCTTGCTGTTCAGTACCTACACTTCCGAGGCTTTATTCACAGGGACATCAAACCTACAAATATGATGGTGCTTCCCGGCGGTCGTATGAAACTTATTGACCTCGACACATGTAAAGTATGCACTTCCCTTTACGCTAACGGTTATACACGAACGTTCCGTAGGAGGACCTTTGCTGAGTTCAACGATATGGAGTCGGTTGGCACTCGTGTGTTCCTATCGCCGGAAATCCTATCCCTTGAACCGTACGGGCGGGCAACCGACTGGTGGGCAGTCGGAGTCACCGCTTATGTGATGGGAACGGGCAAACTTCCCTTCCGCGGAAGCGAGGAGGAGGCAAAAAGGCTAATCAAGGATGTGGAATACCGTTCGCCAAACGAACGGCCAGCGCTCAAACCACTTATTGAGCGACTACTGCAGAAGAACCCCCGACGGCGCATAAGCTCCGCTAGATTCGAGGAATACCAACAGCATCCATACTTTGAGGATGTCGATTGGTCACGGCTTGATGAGACAAACGTGTGTGAAATAAAAGTAATGGACCAGCTGATGAAGATAACCGAAGAGGGCGAATGGTCGGCGTTAGAGTTAAGAAAAAAACGGAGGCAGAAGAAAGAAAGAAAAACGAGACTTACTTTTGCCGAAATTTCCGTAAGCCGTCATAACCTCTTATTTATTTAGGCTTCATTTAAAATTGCATGCCTAAATAGGATTTTCTAATCCCATCATCGAGACTACATTAAAACGATTCTCTAGGAAAATGTCTAGATGAAAAACACACTTAAATCTTAATTTGTTCAACCTTTGGTTTGCCTTGCAATACTATTGTCAATCTGTTTCTTCGTTCATTGTCTTTCATTTTTTTAATTTTGCAAAACCAATGCGCCCGTAAGCAATTATTTGCAATCATTTACACCTCTACGCTGAAAATAACGATTCCACCAGCATATGCCCTTGTTATTTAAATTACCTCGATTGTACCCCCTTTTTCTTCAATTATCGTCTTATATACAAAGCTAACTAAAACTGTATGACTGAATCGGCCGAAGAGCAGTCTCTGAAGCGAAATTTCAAGCGAGTGTAAAACTAGAAATTTAGGCAAAGGAGCTATGGAGATTTAATAGTATCAGCACTAACAATTATGCCTACTGAACCTTCTTCTATATTGTATTATGGCCATGCTATTCTGGAACCAGGATATCGAGAAACACCGAGGTATCTATACCTATTTTACGGAACCTTTCCGTGAATTGCTGCGAGAATTGGCTGATGGGGTCGAGCAACCTAAAACCAAACTCGCTGAAGAGCCGTACGACTTACTGGCCAGCTTCACCGAAAGGCGACAGCGTGCTTCGTATAGATTCAAGGTTAGAACCTGACGCATATCCGAAATACCTTGTTGGACTTTATCTGGCACATAGTACATCTTAAGTATAACTGCTAAGCTAAGAATTTTTCTTTCTATTTGTTGTAGAATTTCCATCGGTTACGGTAAACCGCTAAGAGCTTCCCTAAGCAACTATGATGCTCAATATATATGCATATCTGACCCAGATCATGTAGAATAGAGAATATAGAATATTGAACAAAACCTAAAATAGCGTGCAAATCAATTGCAAGAAACAATGCAAAAGGGCAGATAAGAGATCGCCTGATCTCATTACGATTTGCCTGCTTTCCCGTCTATTCCTCGTGTCGTTTGTTTGCTACTAGACTTCGTCAAGCTCATTGCAACATATCATTCTCTGACAAAATGTATTTACAGATGAAACTACACGCATTATCGAAATTATCGTAAGTGAATATGTTGATTTCAGGCGTTCTTGCGATGGAAAACAAGGCCCGAAGATGGCAAGACGATTTCTCTTTCCACGACAACAATTTCAAAATCAGAAGATTAGAAAAATCTGGGAGAGCTTTTTTTTTTTAGCATCTAAAATATATTTGAACCGTTTGAACTTTAACGATTTTCTCTAAAGCGACAAATTTGCGAATCATCCTGCCTACAATAATGGTAAATAATAAACTGGAAAATCAGTGCTTATTTTATGTTATATTATAATTTTTAAAAAGCACAAGCCGATGAAATCCATTTCGCGTAGTATATGGCACAACATTCTGAGACCGATGAGATCAGCAAGACCTGTTTCTTTCTAATTATAGACAAAGCTTAACGAGTTTAAGTAAATACAAAAAAAAAGATGGTAAAATCTGGAGCGCAGTTGAGGGACGTTGATCGTCTTATTCATTTAGTTCAGTTAGAAATGTTTTAAACTTTATTCATCAAAATTGCGCAGCAAATGTGTCGTCGTCACTTCAACCATCATTGTCATTCCATCATTGTAAGCAAGGCCGTTGCCTGTTTCTTTCATAGGGCTTGTTTCACAGCGCTTGTCCTATATATTAAAATCTGACTTCAACCAAAATTACAATTAAATATTAAAAAAGTATAAAAATAATTGTATAATTATCTCAGGACAGTAAGACGATTTCGTGAACCGACTCTGCTCGTAAAATACGATACGGCGATAACATCATAAGCCAATAGTCTTGTTTTCGAAACGTACGATCGCACCCTTTCGATTGATAAAGAGACGTATCTGTTTTTTCTATAGGGAGTTTGCTATGCACATTTATATCCGTTGTTTCGGACCGCTGTCCAGAACAAGCGGCAGTTGGTCAGGGCTGGTTTTAAATTTTTTAAGCTTTTATATCCTTGGTCATGTGCTTGGTTTTACACAACAATATCAAATCATACCAGTTGCTGGAAAAGAAGTTATCTTGTTATGAAGACACTTAGCGCAAACCGATGATAGCTTCGAAACAAATTTATGCATAATACAATATTAACCCATTACGTCTAATTGCCATAGCCAAAAACGAATGGGGGATTGCTGTTGTTTATCCCCCCCGTCCCCTATAATTATTTCAGTGGAGTGACCTGCCTCCCCTTTGGCACTCTGTGAATATATGTATAGATATGCATATCTATTATAAAAATATAATATTAATTAAATTACATATATATATATATATATATATATATATATATATATATATATAGCACATGCAAACAGAAGGGAATAATTCCTAATAAATGCATTAACAATCGCCCAAATACTGGTTGGATTTCTGACACGTCAGATTGCTCTCGAGTAGACTCCACCGTTGCTTACTTTCCAGATCCTTTTTCAAATCAGACTTTTTGCTTCATCTCCAACAATGTTATTATCGCTGATGTTTGGTAACAGCTGCCTAAACAGTTGGGGCTCTCATTGGGGTCGTTTTCGCTGTTACTTGCCCAATTGTAAAATCGTTCCCGCTCGGACGTATTCTGAATGATGTGATGATTTTCACAACTTGGACCGCTGTTATGCACTCCGTAGCAGACTATCGCCGAATATAATTTTTTGATGTGATGGTCGTGATATTTGCGCTGATGCTTGAGGTGCTTGTTGATTTAGCTGGTGAGGCGGACGTGGAAGTGAATGATTTCAATATCACCGGCGCTGCTGTAGAAAATTCTAAATCATTAGACATGCGCTGGCTCAGATGAGGCTGTCAGGCGATCCTCAAGAAGGTAACCTAGCTTCATCGGTGAGTAAGTTGGCATCAGCGAGTCGAAAGTTTCCGTTGTGGTAGAAAAAGTCGGCTGACGCTGTGCATGATATCCACTCGTCTTCTTGTGAGCAGGCGAACGCGAGTTGATTGAACACGGTTTGATTACCACAAAAGAATGACCAGCGACGAATAGGAGCTTCGCCAGTGAAAAATTTCATGTCCTCCTTGGGATGAGTAGGCTAGCAGATGTGGAATCTTACAATTGGTATCGACATCAACAAAATATCCGTAACGATTTGGACAGCGGAATGATGTTCGACGATGAATTCCGAACTAGCAGGTAGTTCCAAACGGTCTTGAGCCACACTGCAAAGGCTGAAAATGAATTTTATAGTAATAGTGAACCTGGGAGCCTAAACTTAATTTCTCTAGTTCAAATTTTTATTCTATTATTCTAGTTCATATTGAAGTTTTATGCTTTTCCGGATACATTTATGTACATTAACGGGAAACATTTGGTAACAATAAACTAGATCAGACCATTTAAATTTCCGCGCCTTCTTTTCAATTTTTTTTGGCTCAACTAAGCCACGAGAGTTTGAAGTAACTGCTAGACTTGCAAAACAACGTAAGCTCAAAAATAAAAGTAATTTTTAAAAGGACGCATTTATAGTCGTTTATAGGTCCCAGGCAGGGGTCAATCTAAGCTGTGAAAACCATAATAAAATAATAATTACAAACATTTAACTGCTTTTAGAACTTAGGCAGTAATACTCGAATAGTTGTATCTAATAATGAGTTGTAACAACACCTAATAAAATACACTCAAGCTTTGTTGATAACTTCTTTCTGGCTGTGGATATTAACGAAGTGAAATTAGGTTCAAGCATTTACGAGGGATCTTCTGGGTTTTCGATGCAAAATTGTAAGTAAGCCGGTTTGCAGCGGCCGTTGCAGCTCGTTCAATTACCAAGGACGCATTGTACCTTCCATATAAATTCTAAATACGGATGTACTGTTGTACTTACAAGCGGTGATAAAGGCCAGCACCTTTATCTTCGCAGACACCTTTGTATTGACTGGATAGTTGCTTGTATCACTCACTTCAAAACAATAACCAAGTGTTTTACGGTTTCTATATGGTAGAACAAACGTGATTGCTCCTGCTGCCCGTTTTTATCTCAGCTAATTCGTGTCCATCCTGTCCAAAACTGCATTTCAGTGTCATTACCTCAACTGGGCATCGACGTTTATATTCTATCGTCAAAACGGAACCAACTCGGTGCAGGGGAACAAAACAGGTAAGAACGAACAATCCTAGTATAAGTGACGACAGCGACAATGGCGACAGCGGCACGAAGAATATAAAATGGCACCTCAGCGGGGTGAAAATCACGTCCTGTCTCTAAAGTGGCTTGATTCAAGCAATCAGCTTCTGAACGACCCTAACAATCTAGAGCTAGCCCAGTCCGTAGGTCAGGGAACTCAACGCGCGTGAATCTCACCATTTACACGCTAATATACACACACACAATCCGTACACAAACGCTGTATTTTCTTAGGTGTGATGGGCGCACAATGAATTTATTCAATACAATATTCATGGCCATTGTCCTGCCCTAGCTCATCGCAATGTGGATATCAATAGCCTATGACTATTAGTGATTAGTCAAAATGGGTCCGCTAGCAATGGTGTTTCGGAGGAGTGCTGCTAGCTGCAGATCGCTTGTGAATACGTCTGCGGTAATAGCAACTGATGCTGTTGCTACTGTCATTAAAACCGTATCCTACGGCCGAGGTAGTAAACAACGGCGATGTTGTAGACAATGTAAAATACCCTGCTATTTGGATATTGGCAATGGCAAGAATGGTCATGCTGAGCTTTTTGTTTTTAGTGCTGGTTAAGCGACGATTACATAAGCAGTTGTCGTCGGTGATAATTTTTAAGAGCAGCTTTCCGACGTTATATTATTGGATTGTCATTTTATCGCGCATACTGTCTAACGTTAAATTATCGTATGTGGGGGGCGGTTCCTAAGTGTGAATATGGTGTGTATTTATTGGGTATGATAAACCACTTTAACGTAGGAAAGGTTCGGTCAGGTTCAGTAAAACAGAATATTACGTAACGCCAGAGGAATACTATGATCATGTCCGAGGTATTTTTTCGTCAACGGACCATTATTTTCTGTCGTAACGAATTTGAGCATATTAAATTTATGAGGTACTGTTGCTATAAAAATACTCGAACAAGCTGGTCTTTGATTACTGACGTAACCAATTATGTAGTAGTTATTTTAAAAATAAAAATAATGAAGTTCATAATACCCTCGAAAGCGACGCAGCGTTTACATGAATGCCTGTTTATCTGGTGTGTCGTGCACCAAAACTAGCATTGGAAAAGAGCTATCAAAGAAAGGACAAAATGATTCGGATTTTTGCATCCCATGTACTTCATTATTACGCTACTCTGTCGCTAAACGTAGAAAGCACATTGACTTGAAATTAAGTGTACCACGTATTATCATATCACTATAAAAATAGTGATAGAACTGTGCACATCTAATTACATGGATTAACTGCCTATAAATTAAATCCATCGATACTAGCTCCAACGTATTCTTTTTAAGTCGGAAAGTTTGAGTGCCCTTTGGGTGAAAATGCCATAGGGAAACTTCCAGAATCAAGTATATTAAATCTATTAATACACATATTTGGCAGCATACGGTAGCTTAGTTCCTTCATAAGTTCTCATCAAGGTCCCACTGATTACACTTTTTCAGCCCTGTAATTCTTATGCTTATCGCAACTTGGTTCGCCTGGCTTCGTAAAACCGGTATCATGATCGAAATTCCAGCAGAGTCAATTGCGAAAGTCAACTTTCCATCGAATCCCAAGACAGTCATTTCCGTAGCTGATCCAATGTTAGCTGAGTTGAAAGATCCCAGCCGGACCTGGCCTCCACTGTCTGGTTTCAAAATTATGGCATACACCACGTCACCTTTGGATGTGTACCATACGTTTTTGTTGATCGTGTCATTTTGACGTTGCCATGTCTTTGACTCATAGATGGCTTCACCATTGATCCTCAACCAATCGCCCATTTGCAGTAGACGCTCTTGGAATATTGGGTCTATGATACCGTCCTTTCTAGGCCCCACGTTCACCAACAAGTTACCATTGCAGCTAACGGTTTGTACAAGGGTAGCAACTAACTCATCGATAGAAAGCACGTCACTAATGTTCATAACTCGTCGATAGCCCCAAGATTTGCGATCAAGCGTCATAGCGTTTTCCCATTTGTGGGGTAAGAACACACCGGGATTGTAACGATCTTTGCAATTGTAAAAATCGCCGTGCTTACATGGTATGCCAATGCCCCAGCGGTCGTTAACCAGCACCGAATCTCTAACTGGACTGTCATTGTAGAGCCACGCCAAGAAGTTCGTGGTATTCCAGTACTCCGCCGGGGCTTCCCAATCTCCATCCGACCAAATCACGTCCGGTTCGTAGTTGTTAACCAACTCATAGAGCTCAGGAAGACACTTGTTTCTCACAAAGTCTTGCCTTCTAAAGCCACTCCTTTTATCTGACTCGTAGATTGGATTGAACCACTCGTATAACGAGTGATAGACTCCAAAATGCAAACCGGCGCTCTTTGTGGCATCGGCTAGTTCACCTAAGAGATCCTTGTTGGGCCCAACATCTTTGACGTTCCAGTTAAAAGAAACTGAAGAAGGCCACATGGTGTAACCTTCATGATGTTTGGATGTTAAGACTACATACTTTGCTCCGGCGTTCTTGAACAGCTCGGCCCATTGGCTCGCATTATAGAACTCAGCTGTGAAATAAGTCGCGAAGTCAGCGTATTTGAAGCCTGGCGGATAATTATCCTGCATGAACTTCATTGATGCCTTGTCACCGCTTTTCCAATAATACCAGAACCACTCTCCATTGAACGAGGGAACGGCGAAGACTCCCCAGTGTAAAAAGATCCCAATCTTGGCCCGGTCAAACCAGTTGGGTGCTGGCCGAGTGTCGAGGGATTCCCAAGTCGGGCGATATCTCCTACCTGAGACTATGCATAAAAGTCCATCTAGTATCACAAACATGGAAATCCTCACGGCATTCATCTTGCTAATTTCTCATGGATGTCCTCACTGATGGAATGCGTTCACAACGGTTCCTATTTAAATTGTATGCTCAACGATTCTGTTTAGCTTGGTTATTTTTAATCAGATTTGATACGCATCGAAGCCGCCTCCCAAAGTTCAACGACTAAAGTACGGCAGTCCACATTTCGAGTGTCGGCATATGCCAACATCGATCACTAGGCACCTCCAGCACAGGTAGCTCGTAAAGAATTTCGTGTAGAATCTTACCAGTAAAGATGGACACTGCCCACACTAATAACATATCGACAAATCATTGTTAGCTTTTCCAGCTCAATGTACATTAGCTAGCCTATATAGTGACAAACAACTCTTCAGCCTGCTTCAGCCAAGCAAATTGATAACTTAACGACGCATTTGTAAAAGTAGACTGTAACAGGACAGCTCTGTGGGAACCAATCTTGAGTAAGTGCCTCTATTGTTTCTTCTCTGTGCTGCTATTTCCGTACGCTATTCGAAATAGGAGTCAGTTATCTCGCGGCTACGTAACAAAGAGCAAAGCGTTCGTCGATATTTCAACAATTTTGCAAGCAATCTTGGAAATAGTACACGAACTAATCATAGACCTTAAAGGGAAGCAGCACTTGCAAATCGAGGTCTTAGTTCAAATAAATGTTCTTTAAGCGTGCCTGTGAGCATTCCTGTTCAAGTTAAATAATTGTTGAAGAGTTAACGGGCTAGATCCCCAAAGTTGGTTTGTATATACGAGGTATATGAATTCAGCGTGTCGACTTTTTATAACTTACGTACTGTGCAGTTATTATTCTGTTGGGATTAGTGCACTCAAACTAGGTTCGTGTTGCCTCCTAATCTTACTTTGGAAAAACAATAGATTAGCATTTGCAGGTTGAATTCTTAATCGATAATAAATGAAACACTGAGTTTTTTACGATGCTTAAAACTGTTCATAGATCACTGGACAGATTTGTGGCATATAAAAAAAAATATATGGAATATCTGTTTTTAGGAGGATTAACCTCATTTCTAAATACAATATATACCTCTTACCAGCTATCAACAACTAACGTTTTTATTAATTTGGTCAAGGTATGATGTAAAGCAGAGGTCCCGTAGGCTTTGGTACGGATCGGCCTCCCAGCCTAAGTATTTCGTTATTCATTTTCACATCTAGCAATACTCGAGGTTAAATAAATGAATGATCGCCCAGGTCGCGACAAGCATCACGTTGGCAAGTGAAGACACTTGTAATATACAGGTCGATCGGGGCACGCAGGAGAGTGTCGGATGGTCTCTGATTGACACGAAAGATTTCCCGAACTTCAAAAAATAAACTTTCTAGATTTTAGAGCGCAAATCGCGGTCATCGAAATAATTGAAGAATAGCAATCACAAAATATTACCTTAATTATTTGACCTAAACGTAATTGTTTCGAGTTTCACATCCGGTACTTCGCCCTTACGCATTGTTTCCAATGCCTGGCTTAAAGCACTATACGGTACCTAGCCTTTAAATCGAACGTTGTTATTTTTGTATCCATTAATTAATTCTAAGTCACAACGACACATTTCCACTATTTCGTTGGCATGCAATTCCCTGTTTTTTTTTTTTGTTTATTACATTTCCATTGCACTTAGTATGTAATGCTAATCGAAATTTGTGTTGCAAAATAAAAAGCATTATGTCTCCAATTGAACAGTAAAGAAAGAAAGCTCGTTCACCAATCGACGATCAAATATAGTCAAATAGTTTTGACTCTTAAGGCGAAACTGTTTCTGACTTATGAAAATGGCGTTATTGTACTTTACGCTGCTACTCTACATATCAATAACGAGCAAATATTTTTAAGCTGCCGACAATCCACGTGATAGAAACGATATCTTGTAGTAATAGCTGACGCCAGCTCTTGAGCCATGCTCCCGATGCAGATCTCAGCTATGACTGAATCTGATTGTTTTTCGCGGTAACCTCGAATATCTGTTATTTCCTGGTTTTTCCGAATCGGCGACTCCACGATTTTGAGATCTGTCGAATCAGCAGGCAACGACAGCACTTGAACGTGATGGGCAGCGAGTAGCCTAAAGGTACCTGAAGCTCTGTGACGAGCGTTCGGAACCATCTCCGTACCTGAGGCTGTATCTTGTTTTCGATAAGTTCAGCATAATACTGGTATTCTGGCCTTTGATGTATGATTTGTTATAAATCACAGGCCACATTGTAGCTTTTGGTGGATGATTGATCTTTAGCATCGTGCAGTTTCAAAAAAATCACGATTTTCGTCGCCAAAGAACTCTAGATGACATTCATCTGGGGAATAGACTTTTTCCCATTTCTCAACGACCCAACTCTTGACTTCGTTTTGCCCAATAAAGACCCGCTTGTTTTATTCGAGCGTTGAAGCGAGGTCTCTTGGCCTTATTGCTTTTGAAGCCAGCCACTTTGCAAAACGTAGCTTCCGATACAGCGTGATCACCTTTAATCTACTCTGAAGAACATTATATGAGACAATTGTATCTTTCTATAATTCGTAGGTAATCTCTTTCGATCCTTGTTACTGATGTTAAGCTACATCAGAAGGACGTTTTTTCTCAGCTTCTTAGCAACATTGGCGACTGCACCCTGGGAAACATAAAACACCTCAAGGGTTTCCCGTTTTGTTGTGAAGAAGAATCTGCTAACCAGTGCTTCGTGCTCTCCAGTGGCATCTGCTCCTTCTTTTTCCATTTCGACACTTTACATACGCAAACTACTATAAAAAAAAATTTAAATACCACTATGTAGTTGTTCAGCGATGGCAGCAGCCATAGCAACGAGACGGCAAGATAGGAAGTGCCGGCTGTACTTAGTACGAGATATAAGCTAAAATGTAAGTGTAAAATCGAATGACGCCATAGTAATAAGGCAAAATAGTTTGAAAATGTCTCCCTTTAGTGCTTTGCTATTGGCCTGGAAAGCTGAAACTCTTTGATGGAATTGATCTGAGACTATTTGATCGAGTGTCGATTATATGTGATGCATATGTTCTTTGCTGACTGAATATTTGTACTTTTAATTTTACCCATTGATAATTGAACCGATCCAAAATATTCAATGACCGCGAAATTAGCTGCAAGTACAATTTGTATGACAACGATGATTGGACGTTTTTCTTCCACGAGTCAACAAATTTGGCTCATTAGCTTTTTTTTTTCACTCAAACTTCACATCGAGTTAAAATGTCTTTATAGATAAAATTTAACAAACAGACTTCAAATAATAATAATAATAATTAAAAAATCTTGTTTCGTCGATAAGCTTCGGCACGCTGCTTAAAATGGCTTGTAGGCCCTGTGAACACACGGGGGTCCAATACGAAAAACCTGAAAAAATCATCATAATATGTTTATGATTCTAGCCTAGAATAAAACTATCGATTTATGAATGGTTGCGAAGTTATCGTCAAAACTTGTTATTCATCGAGTGTGAACAGTAATAGTAACTCATCTTAAAGTAACACAATTTGCGCTCGGCCTAGTTGGTCAAGGTTTCGTAACGGTGGCCTGTGTTAGTATCCTAAACGGCGAGGGTATTGCTTCTTCTGCTAGAAACCCAGACAGGCACTGCAAACATAGTTTTCTCGTGTGCGGGACACACGATGTTTACAGAACAGTTTTTGATGAAAAACTAATCATATGAAAATCTTTTTGCCGTATTGTCCAAAGTTACATCAGTGCAAACAGCTCAAAGATCCGATGCCAGGTGATACACAGTAGCAGCAGCGACTATCGAATATAACTTCCTAATTAAAAAATTTTAATCTACTTGAAGTTCGTATGGAACAACCGGCATTTCAAATAGAACAATACGTTTAAATACTAAATAAACAATATGGAGTTATATTGAAAATCGCTAATAGGCATGTGTTGTACGAAGAATGGAATTGTACTAGTGTTTTAAGTAGGGCAAATTAAAAAGAGGTTAAACGTGCGCAATGGTGACATTTCTAATGTGTTTTTTTTAGCTTGATGGATAACGGCACGGTTTTGGGAAGCATGAACAACTTTGGTTAATCATGTATTCGTCGATGCGTCATATGGGGCTTCAGAGGGAAGTTTAACTGCACCAATCGCACCTTTGCATATGACTGATTATATGGAAAACCTTAGGCTTACATTATGTTATGAGTAGCTAGCGTGACTTTTAGGTGTTTTCAGAAGGTAAATAGAAGCAGAAATCGGCACATCTTAATACTCAACGATATGTATAAATAAGTCCTTATATTTATGTATTTTTTAATCAGATCTTACAAGGCTTGTGGCCCATAATAAATTATGCACTTTACAGAGAAATTCGCTTCTATAACAACTAATCTGCCCAGCGTTCAATAGTTGTAACACATAAGTAATAATGGACTATTCGTCCTATGCCGCAGGCCATAAAGAATTCATGATTGGCTTATAATTCGCTGGGCCACTTGAACATCCGTCGGTATGGTACATGTTGTGAAAGGCGTTCTCGTCGAATGCGATCCGGCTATGAAGGAATTCCTTATTCATCTTGATGACACCAAGGAATTAGGACGCAAGTTTATCATTCAGGTTAGCCTTTTCGTTAAATCATATGGCTTAATCATTTCTCGACAAAAAACTAGCCAGTAGATCAGATGTTTGTTCTGTTTATCGATTACAGCCATACTACGTGGAGGTAGAAAGTTGGGTACCATTAAAAAGCGAATTTTTTAATTCTACTGACGCTTCAAAGGTTTATAATACAAATATATAAGACACGAACTTGAAGCTTATAATTTTAATACTGAGACACATACCGATTAGGCGGATTCACGTAAAAAAATATTAGTTCGGTCTAAAAGAAAGGAAATATATCAAATTCATGACAAATATTTCGTCTAGTAAATATGGCAGTTCGATTTCCTGAGCTGAAGCAGGGAAGCTAAAAACTCGGTTAAATATAGCAACTTATAATCCAATAGGACTAAGAAAGATAATATCCAACAGTTGAATTATCTTCGTTTTGCGAAAGCTACTGAAAGTAATAATAGTTAATTTTACTGCCATTTTCAATCTCGAATGGTTTCTATAGGATCTGGATGAAACGCACTTATTCATCGCAAGCGATATTATCGACACCCTGCTCAACCGCGTCGACGACCTTATGGATCGTCTGTCATTCCCGGTTACTGATTAGAGAGTCCACCCAACAGAAACGATCTCTCATACTGGACAAATTGATTTCACTTCGTTCTTGTTGTTGTGTTTTCATCTCCACGAAAACATAGAAGCACAAACAGAATAACGTACCTTGTATAATAAATATTGAAACCGCTTTATTCGGAAGAACGTGTATACTCAATCAGTTGCACTTCCTGAAAGTAGTATTTTTCACTGCGCCGTTGTACGACACAACGGATTGACGATGATGGAAGAAATACGTAACGTGGAGGATGGAACAGTTGAAACGTACGAAGTTATCGAGACTGAAGCAGAAGACGTGGCTGGCGTTGAGGAGGGCGAAGTGGAGGCCATTGATGGTGAAGAAACAGCGTCAAGTGGCGCTGGGCTGCACGCTATACATCATCAACAGCATCCGCAAGTGATCGATATGCAACAGCCACAACAACAGCAACAAAAACGCGTTCGACGACACCAATGCCAGCAATGTCCAAGCAATTTCCCGCGTCAGACAGAATTGAATACCCATAAGTGGCTGGTTCATGGGATATTCTGCTCTCTACTAGTTGAAGAATGCCCTGAAGCTGAGTGCGGCTTTACTTGCGAGTCAAAAGGTCTTCTACTGGAGCATCTCTATTTTGCACACAATGTTGATGTGAAGCTGGTGTCCGCTCAGCTGGACACTGAGGCTGACTTTGACCTGTGGCTTCAGCAGTTTCAGTACGAGCACGCATCCGAGTTTGTATTGTGCACAACACAAAGTAATGCTAAATATAGAACTCGCTTGTATACTTGCGTTTTCGAGGCTCAGCCTAAGCGGTGCGACCCACATAAAAGTTTGCGGGTTAAAAGGCAATGTGCAGCCCATTTGCTTGTCAAGGTTAGTCTATTAAAAAGAGAACGAGCTGACTAAGGATAAGTAATAGTAATTATTTTTCAGTTCTATGATTTCTTAAAAACAAATCATTCGATGTTTCTTAAGACTATTCATGAGTACTTTTTGTTGTTATTTCCAAACTAAGCCCCGGACTGTAGTAGTTTATACTTAGTGATGTCCACCATTTTACATTGTAGAGCTTTATCCCGCAGTAACTCTATGCTACCTTTGCAAGAATATAAACATTTGAATAATGTACGTCACCAATGCTCCATATGATTCCACAAGCGAACTAGAATAAAACTTAGGTGTGTAATCCGCGCTCTGTGTGTTGCCGATTACTTTTCCACTAATCTATAAGCCTTTTTGGAAAATATTAACCCTAGAAAAAATTGCTTGCCTTATGTTTTATAATAACGCTTACCGCAAATATTATTTTTTATTATTTTGACCCAGTTATTATCATTATATCTATTATATTTTACGATCCAATACCTTTGAGTCTTTCTATCGGGTCTATACACAGAGATTTTTTGCTTTTAGTAACAAAATATATCGGTCGAGCTCTCTATTATTCGTAATTTTGCAAATTTGATGCCGAAGTAAGCGCACGTGTTTAGTCGATCTTGTTACATAGGTTTTGTCTAAAAGTCTCTAATTTCGAGGGACACCAATTTTAGCTGAATTTCACCTTAGAAGTTTTATTTTGCCCGAAATCATAGTCCAGTTTTATAATAAATGTATTAAATATTACCGGAATAATTATCAACAGACCCTTGCTATGTAATTGTATTTAAGATTGAAAAGGAACATGAAATAATCGATTTACATTTCGTTATTTTTCGTTTTGCGCCCGTTAGCAATTGAAACGAAATGTAATTGTGTTCATTGGAGTTCAACCCTTTACCCTAAGTTTAACGATATCTAAGTATGTCTTACCATACTAGTTACGGCCGTAAATCGATATACTCCTGTATAGCTTACTAAGTTCTTTTACTCATCATTTTGTTTATAGGTTCCACGCGTTGAAGGTAGAGGTAAAGTGGAGGTGCTTGGGTCCTCTCATCACAATCACGTCACATCGCCGCTTTCTGCACCAGCCAGAGACATCCTAGACACTGAAGATGAATCTGTCGTTATGCTTCCTCAATCCGCCTCGCTTATCGAAATGTTCCAGGTAGGGACGTGTGGCACACTTGAACTAGATCAAATATATATTTTAGGGAGAAGTATGAAAACCCTCCTAAAAAAATATTCGTCATTGACAGGATTGCCATTCTTTTACTTCTAGTTCATCTTTAAAATCACAGTCTCATTTGCTTCAATCAGTGAATTCAAAGGCATTCGGAACCAATGATATACCTTGTTATTATCAAGCTATCAATATTCATAGTAGAGAAATATTAAATGTGCATACGCCAATTATAGACGGCCCAGCAAGTGATCCAATTGTCGGATGAGCTCCGAAATGAGCTCGCAAATGGTAGCAACACCCAGTCTTCTGATCAAACGGCCCAGGTGGAAATGAAATTGCTTCAACTCAGACAGGTAGGACCTCAAGGTGAATAAAGTATACGAAGATGCTTTCTGAGAAAACTTTATTATCATTTCTGCATATATGCCTGATCATCTCTCTTTGATGAAAAGAAAAATTTAAGTGTGTCAGTATTTATAATACGATCACAATTTTATTTTAAAAAAGATGTGTATTTGCCTACACGTTAACCGGAGGTCGCACGCTTTTTCACATCATTCATTTGTTGCGAGAATATTTGCGTTAGGAGGAGAAGGATCACGTAAAAACAACGAAGTCAAATTTGGGCCCGCAGTTTTCAGAAAAGAATCCTCATAAGTCGCTTAATGTACGCAACTTCATGAGATTTTAATTTGTGTCTGTATCTTTATTCTATATGATGTGCAGGTGTTAGCCGCATACGACCAGCCGGTCTGTAGTGAACTTCCAACGGGCGTAAGTGGAATGGCCGTTGTATCGGCCGATAGCGTTGTTCTCGAGGAGGCGAACAGCGTCGTTGTGGGTCAGCAGGTTGGGGAAGAAGGACCAACCGTTATGATGGAAACACTCGCGGGATCGGGACATCAACAGCAACAGCAAACCGCAACCCTCCATCGTCGTCAGAGCCAAGTGCATCAACAGCAGACTCAACAAATTCATCAGCAACTTGAAATGATCGATGCCTCGCAGGTGGTGTCTGACGAGACAGGCCAGACTCAGCAACATATTGTTCACCGAACAACGAGAAATCAGCCGCAACAACAACACATACAACATCAGGAACAGCATATTATAATAGGGTAGTCCGTTTTTGTTATCTTTATTATCCAACGTACGTTTAAACGGTTGTCAAAAAGTATAAAACAAAGCGTAGACCTTTCAAAGAATACAAATACGATTCCCGGACACAAAACGCTTGGCTGTAATGTGTGCTAGTTAACTATATGTTCATCAATTGTGTAAAAAGTGTACATAGAATAAAAAGAATGTAGGTTTTTTATAACCGATGTTTACCACAAAAAAGTAATTATGCTTATGAATAAAGTAAGGTTTGTTTAGTTGACGATTGTTTTTCGGCAGCTGTAAAGCTACATAGCTAATCGGTAATTCTGAATAATGTCGAATGTCAGCTTAATTCACCTGGTTATGATGAAATAATATTGATAATTGTAATAATAATAGTAATAAAACAACATGATAGTAGTAGTTCTATTTTTATGCTTTATTGAAATGCGGAATGATTATTAGATTACTATTAATTTTGAAATTGTGTAGTTTAGTTCTTTTTATCACATAAAGACAGCCTCAAAGATCTCCACTATAATGTGTAGGAATAGGAAAATATCTATTCTGAGAATTCTAAGAATGAGCACTGTGTATAAAGAATAATAACCACTGGGAACGTGAAAAAGTCAACAAATGGTCCAATGGAGAGCACTAATTAATTCTCGTTTTAACAAACAGAAACCAACTATATATTGCCCTACAACTAAATATCAAATAACATATCTTAAGCAAAATCAACGACTTGCCTTGGGGAAAAAGGTACCAAATAGAAGAAAAAACGAAGATATTAAAAAATCTAACACGATGATTATGCCCGGCTAGCAGGTGAGTTCGAGGAAGATGAAAGCCTTATGCTAATAAACCTAATTTTTTAACGGAAATCCAAATATATAAGCATGGTTCGTTTAACACTTATTACCATCCAAAGGCTGAAAGAGCGCTTGGATGAGCATGTAAAAATAAAAAAGCGCACCTATAACGTATATCATCAATCTAACCCAGCTAGTTTAAAACTTACTCAGTTATAAGATCCACCGGATTCGTTTGTAACAACTTAATATTTAGGTAAACGTAACTTTCCAAAAATCTATCCGCACTCGATAGCCAAGATTTCATTCAGGCACTGTTGTACTGTTTTCGAAATCCATACTTGATCTAGCTAAATTTTGCTGAGGAATTTATTAACAATTCCTATGATTGGTGTAATTTTTTCTGCACATTTTTCATTCCAATGAATCTGAGTATGTAATTGCTTTATTTAATTACCCGTTCTCAATATGGTTATCGGTATTAAGATTTAAGTGATTGGGTTTTTGGTTCGAGCCCCGTTATTCACACTTAAACGGTAGTGCGGAACTGCGCAAAAGGCGGCCTACTCAGAAGCATCATAAGGCCATCAGTGTTGAATGAACATACGTCCGGATAAAGGTTACGCTGCCATTTAACCCATTAAACAGAGCCGGTTACTTTCAAGCATATTTTCATTTATCAATCAGAAGCTCTTCTTTTGGCAATAATTATCGAGTTTATACCTTGAAAAGATTACAATATCAGATCATAGCGGAACCTATCCATATAGACAGCTTCAAAAGATTCAAGGACAACATGTTTATGAAGTTCATGGCGCGAATAGTTTGAAGAATTAAATCAAAGCTATCTATAAAATCGAAAAAAACGAGAAAGTACTTGAAAAAAGAAAGTATGTCCATTCTTGGAGTTAGCCATTGTCGGCAAGCATAAGAAAGCGTATAAAATGAGAGCTCTAACTCATTACCAGTTTTGTAGACATGGACACTATCGAGCTAATAAATGCACTTAGTAGCCACAACTTTTCCTTCATTATCTAGTTGTAAAATATAATCCATCGTGGGCAACCGGAGTCAATAAAATGGCTTTTGTTTCTAAATCTGTAGCAATAATGGAATAGATTTTTCATGAATATTTAAAAAGTGCCTTTTAGGGCGTAAAAAAAGCCTGTAGAAATCTAAAAATTTCTTGCTCCCTTAACACATGTTACGTGTATACGAACATACGGTGAAATTTACATACGAAGCACAGGAGTTGTGCAACGCATGTTGTTATTATGGAAAAACTGCGTATTAATATCTGGAATTTTTCTTCACGAATTTTTCGGATATCGAATACTATTTTGCAAATATATAATAAATAGATATCAGTATACATTTTCGATGATTATGATGCTCTAAATAAATCGGGTTAAATTCTTCGTCTTTGGTTTAGTATAGGAAAGCTGTCTATTTAGATGACCAGCTATCTATTCCACTCCACAAGTAAACAATGACCACGAATACGCTTACACATTAGTAGGTGAAAACTATATTAAACTATGCATTACCTCTACAAAATATTATAGAATTGGTCCGGTAGCACACGATTGAGATGCCTCAGAAATGATAAACAAATAAAAAAAAAAAAAAACAGATAAAAAAAAAAAAATGTCGAAAAACAATGACTTTAGCCTTGATGCCGGTTTCTCCTTGATATTATTATTGAATGCGATTAGATATGCAGTCATCTTGCCGATAATACGATTTAACATTTTCAAGGGACCAAGTGATCAACTTACCCATTATCTGTAAGTTCAAGAACTTAAGTAATTATATATTCAAACGGCGTCGTTCTATCAACTTCGAGGTTTTAAGTTTGATCTCACAACCGTCTCTTAGAACTACTGTTTTAAGTAAAGCCGAGAAGTCTATTTTCAAAAAAGTGAAATTAATGTTACAAGAAAAAGAGCACATTAAGCAGATGGCAGTTTCGGAGCAATTAGCTAACTTGTAAACAACCTTCTTGCGTAAACGATTAGTTTTTGATAAAGATGCTATGAATTTATTTTAGTTGGAATGTTTCTACATTTCGAAAAAAGTGGGAATTGTTATTCACATTGTATGCACATCGGTAAAATATCTGAAATCCTTCTAGTACGTAGTTATTTTCGTAGTTAGTATGAGGGCTATTAGCTTACACGCATACCTAAAAGAAATTCTACCAATGCTAACAGAACCGAAAGAATTCATATGGAGGTTGCGTGAGTACGACGCCGAGCGCGCACAGCTCACGTTCTTTATATTTTTTATAATTCTTCTCATTAATTCGGCAACCACTGTTTCCGTTTCACATATATTCATATATTAATGATATTATATTACCAATAATGATATTTCTTTGATTATGACCATTGCAGCGTAATGTCTAGCTTGCATAATTTTTGTTTTGTTGTACTGTATTTATGAGGCCACACATTATCTGAAAACGGTTATCGGCTATTGGGTGCCCATATAACTGGTACTCGTATATTTCATACTGGTAAATCTCATGCTCCACTTGTGACTTGGTTCGCTTTCTACGAGCCGCCAAAGATGTCTCAGCGAGAGTAAAACTTAGCTATACGTTTATACCTTTCCCAATGCCTATTGGTGAAGTTGTCGGGTCCGCGTTGGTCATCTTGTTAAAAGCTCACCAGTTCCAATACTTTAGCTGCACCCGGCTCATTTCATTTTCCTCTCCACAATTTGGATTTTAACTATACCGTAAGTCTTTCTCACGTCACTATGCAGTAATTAAACAGCTTTCTGTAATGCTCCAGTAGCCAAGAAAAGTTACATTCCGTCAAGGTGGACAAGTGTTTTTATAGGTACTACCTTTATACTATAGGTAAGACCTATAGTAATGATCTTGTAAGTCATTGTCCTTTTTCCACTGGCCTTGAGCCTCTAGCAACCTTCAAGCAGACTGAAAAGAAAGGGCCTTTTTAGTTAAATGTAGTTTTCGTGCCATCTACAGCATATGTGAGCCAGCCACATAGTAGGCATTAATACGACATTGTTATTATTATGTTTGAGGGATAGTGAACGTATTTAAATAGGAACCTCCCACTACTGGTAAATTTGACCGTTTTCAATTATTAAAAGTGTGCATATTGAAACTTTACCACATTACAATTTTATTTTGCACCACCAAAAATCTACGTTTAACTTGTAATTTTTCTCGATAGTTTTTATCAGGCACTGTTAAGGAAAATACGTAAAGTGTCGATGGTTTCACCAGAACGGTTCAAATATGCATGTATGATGGCTTTGCTAAATTCATTTATTTATGACGCCGCGCTTAATGGATAGAACTTTTATTCTGCTGGTGTAAAATTCTTGACTTGATTAGGATAAAAGTATCACGCAAATGAGCATCCTAAATGGTAGACTGCGTATTTCGTTATTATAAGATGAATCATATTCCTTTCAATGAATGTAGCAAGTGCCCATGAAAGCCACTGATGCAGAACGACAGCTGCTTGACAGCGTAGATGTTGTCCAGAATTGTTATTTTACAGTCAATTCTAGGACAGTCGCATTCTGTGTTAAATGAATCACAAAGATTTACTGTGAAAATACATTCTGGCACCATACCTGCTTATCTCATAGAATCATAGTAACATTAGTAAGAAAGCACTGGAAGTAAACATTGGTATTTGCTGATAATACTAGAGCGCAACAAGCTCTGGATTTAGTTGGACGATAATTAGGATTCTGCTGCAGTAATGACGAGCATCGCACATTATACAGCATAACTCGTATATTATGTATATTTAATACAATAAATTTGTTCTTCGAATTTCAACAAATATTAGCTAACATACTCAATAAGGTAGCAATATCTAACGGCTTAGGTACCGCACGTAAGGTTCGAGACATCTACTTATCAGTGAAGAAAGTGCAGTGTTTATTTTCTAACAATAGCTTCAATCTTAAAAACGGACGCTTCAAAAACCTGCCAATTTTCAGTGCAGAAGAAAATTTCTACCGTGTTAAATACATTTAAGGCACAGTTCAGCTTTTATTTGAATTTATCTATTGAAAGTCTTGTAACCGCCGAAGGCTTATAGTTTCAAATATTAGCTTTCCGTTTTCATATTTTTAGAATGATTTTTGTAGGCATTGGTTACAAGAAAAAGATTTTTTTAAGTGGCCAGCGGGGAAACTTTCCAAAATACCTGAAAGATAGCAGAGTAAAAAAGTCGGTCAGATTTGTGGTGGTCGCTTTTTACCCAAATGAGACAGACCTTAAGTATCGTTCACTTATTATGGGTAAACTTTAAAAATTGTGAGAAGCTAAGGTGGAGTTTTCTTAAGAAGCCACAACGCTTTTCAGACCTGTTGATGTAAAACTCTACTGCCTTCTAGGAAGTCGAGTTACAGCCATATCGCTCGTTTAGTTCGTCCCCTGTCTGCGCACTCTAGCCTACTGAGTCATTTCCAGTACGTTGGATTAAATATTTCCTTATTAATTAGAGCTGTAGGCTGGTTTCCTTTTTTGTTTCCTAATTTGGTCTCTCGCCAACGACTGAATTATCAAAGCAAAATTTCCCCGATTTTGCCATAAAAAGCTAAAATAGTTTGTCATAGCTGCAAGCGGCGTTCCAATCAAATTTAAGCCTATTACCGCCCACCATTACGTGCCTATCGGCGTGTTTATGAAAGATGACACATCTCAAAAAAACTATGCTTGTTAACCAAATAGTTTACCGCTATTGGGCTTACCTTATTCTATTGTTTTCGTCGAGGTAAGTGGTTAAATACAACTATCTCGTTAGCCGTACAAACCTCATAAGGTTTGCAAATGTCTCATATTCGCCAACCTTACAAGATAGCCGATTCCCTATAGTACGTTACCTTTCAGAACAAGCCGATGAGAATTAGGTTTTTCACTTACAAGCCGCTATTATCGCAGCTATGTCTTTTCTTTCTTCGCTTTACTAAATAGATAGCGTGAGTTCACGCTATTCAACACATCGTCCGCAAAATGGCTTCTCTGGAGCAGCGGGTGCTTTCAAACTAAACCTGAGAGTAGACAGAATATGTTATTCGATGTCTATATTGTTCAGGGGCATTTTTGAGACCCAGGGGCGTTCGAGTTTTCTGCAGTAGTAATCAAATGTTTCAATTGTTGCCTTTCTTATCAGCATAAGCTTTGGACGTAAGACACAACACCCATTGTGTGACTGAACGTATATACACCATACGAGTTCTATCACACACTTGAATACCTCCTACTCTTTCTCAGTGTTTTGAGCGAAAGCACTATATATATACATAAATATATATGTACATGTATATATATTCGCCGTAATGTGTAAAAACCCATTTAACGCAACTACTCTAACGGTTATCAACTGCATACTAAGCGTCTTAGTAATAATTTCTAGATAAAAGATCATGTGGTTAGAATTCGTAGTACTTAATGCATTTTAATGCTATGTATATCCAAACTATAACCGTTTCTCCTACCTACTTAAGAGCAAAATAACGCTAAAGGTAAATAGTCACACCGGAACACAGTTTCTTGTTCTTCTATTATATTCATCGTATCAACACTGACCGCTGCAATTGCTGCGTTCATGTCTTTATTATAGTCGTCATCATCTTCATTTACCATTATTACTTTCGTCATTGTTCTTAACTTCCATGCTTCTCGTGTAAGCCTTTAGGTGAGTTTCCTTTAGTCACTTCCTCGCTTCGTTGGCTTTTGTTTACTCTGTCATCTTTCCTGTTTTCTCTACATCGGCCCATGGATTTGTTCAGGTTCCGTCTTTAATTTTTTCGTTTATGATAATGTCCTCTTCTGTTATAGTGGCGGTCGTTTAATGTTTACTATGACTCTGCGTTGTCATCTTTCTCTCGTATCAAATTAAGTACAGGAAATCCAATCCATATTTTTTTCGTCAATCTGCTTACATTTTTCGTATAGCCCACCTTGTGTTGTATCCTTTCTAACACACATTTCTCCATTTATATATATGGTATTTTTCCTTCATTATGGGACATCGTTTATTTTATTTTAAATACTTATATCTCTTCAGTTGTTTTCGAGTTCATTGTCATTAGGCTGATGTGTGTGGATATATATTTATATCATAATATGAATTCAAGGTAATAATCACCATCACATATTACATAATCATGCACTTCGATTATTTTATTTTAATAATTATTTAATATCTACACAGAAAAGGCTATGTACATACTCTGATGAAGGCTGCCACCGCATTCTACACGCGTAGGCCTCCTGTGGTACAGCCTAAAAGCGCCCAACCCTTCTCAGACGTATGGCCTGGCATACGTCATTTGTCAATCGATGCAAAAATTACAATTTTTATTTTTAGACCTAGAAACGCTTTCGAAATTTTTGTCTTCAGTCAAAATATCTGCTCGCTTTCGAGAGAACCATTGACATGATAGGGTAAGCATTCTCGGTTCAAGCGTCTTACTTCAATTACAGTCTTCAGCATGCATGGATTAACGCCATCTTCATATGGCTTTGGGCTCATTAACTAATCATTCCTCGTGTTCATGTTAACTGTCGTTATTCACATTTTTTACTTAACTTTATACACAATTTAAAATCGGACTCGCCAAAGGTAGATAATTATTATTGTTACTATCATATATGTACTCACGTGTCGATATCGCTTCGATCCTCTTCCTATTTAAATATATAGACGTGGGTATTTAGCTTTATTCGTCAAGTCTGACCAAACATAGAATTGTATCAAGCGACGCGCTCTTGTTGCCATTATTACCTAACTTTCGGGTACAGTTTTTGCTATAACATAATAGTGCATACTTTGGTTGATGTAATTAGGCATATGTTATGTACCTAGCTAGCATTTGATTTTGGCCACTTAATTGTTATTTTTCGGTCGTCCTGAATAGCCTTATCGGCAAATGTAATTGCAGCCATTGACGTTTCCTTCTCATCGCTCGACATATAATCGTTCTATGTATTTTGTCCTTCCATATTTTTATTTTCTATTATGATGTTTTTATTGTTATTATAATTTTATTGTTATATAAATGGTTTATGTCGCCATTCAGTGTGTTTTTAGTGTCATCCAATTGTTTTTAGTTGTTGCTGCTATAACGGTGAATTACACTGCTTTAATTCATCCTTTGCCGTCCATTTTCTTTAAGCACCTGCTTGAGAATAGTTTCGTCATTCGTCAATGAGCTGACATAATAAATTACGATTGTTCGATAACAACTTGCAACTTTAACAAAACAAAGCGCCGCTTCCCCCATGCCTGCTCCCGACGTTACCTCTAGCTCTTCAACAACCAGCAGTAGTTAGAATTTGTCGATTGATCAATCAGTATACTTATCCTCTATTGCCGTTTGACCACTCAATTAGTTAGTCAGTCACGTCTGCCTGCCCTCCTTTGGAACAATGTATTACGGTTCAAGATGGGCTCATTATTAATCGGTTACTATGGAGTTACCAGTCATAGATTAGTCGACTGCCTAGTTCGAGTGACAGTTAAATATGAGATGATAGCTTCATAAGGTGCCGTGGCGCCTTTCTATCCAACAAGAAACATACGAACGAACAAACGAGAATTTGTTGCGCTCAACAAACTTATATATAGTTGATAATATTAATAATTTATTGTAGCGTAATAATCGTAATTAGGAACACCAACTATTTATTTGCCTGATTAAGAACACGGTGGCGATGGCAGGATTGAGCGAACTTATTTTTGGCATCGCACTGGGGTAAAAGCAGCTGGGCTGGGCCAAGCAACGAGAGGAGCAAAAAAGGAGGGAGCAATTACTATGATGGTGGATGTTACGCGAAGAGCTACCACTGGTACAGGTGCGTATCAGTAAGATACAGTGCGTAAATATCTGTGCGTGGCAAGGAAAGCCGCATCGAAACACGGAGGTTTTCCCTTTTCCTTTTAAAGAAGGACGAACTTTCTTTCTTACATCCGTCATTGTTAAGTTCATGACATTTAGTAGAGCTTTTTTTATTAGCAAAAGGGTTAAACTCACCGGTTTCGATATGTGAATTACTTAGGCGCGTTTGAGCAAGAACAATGGCATGTTACTAAAAAATGCATAAAAGCAACATTGTATTTATGAATAGGTCGGGAAATGCACTGACAACAAGGACCGTGCAAGAACGAAGGAAAAACGTTGATAGAAATAAACACGAGGCTAATAATAAAAAATAACAGAGCGATTACCTAAATTGAAGCTGATAGGGGCTACGATAATTTCTGGCTTTTCATTTACAATGATCGCCCACTTGCAGGCGTCAACGAACCAATTACGTGCCCGTATACGATCGGTAATTGTAGATCGCGCTTTGTTGATCGTCACATCAGTCCTCCTGTAATCAATTTAGCTAGGTAGGACAAGGCTAAGTTGCTCTCTATTTAGGTTGAACTGAATAGGCATAATGGCCAGAAAAACTCGACAGCAGCAAAAGGCTGAACCATTTTTTTTCTATCCAAAGGTCTTTTCACTCACAAAGGTACACATTTGCCGTATTGCCTTTAGATATAGTTGGCAATAAAAAATGCAAGTGAAATGATCGTAATAACACGTCGTCATGGTATTTTGATCGGCAACACTGTAACTTTCTTGTACGACAATACGGTTATGACCAAAGCCGATTATGCGAGCTTAAATTATTGTGATCATATAGACGCTTTTGTACAAACACGCATAACAAAACAAAAGAACAAATAAGCACGCACACACAAACATGCCTGCTGCTAAAGGTCTAGCGGTTAACGTTAACCTCTACAGCGGCCTAACAACTAAGCTTTCCCTTTGGTTGTACAAAGGTTTGTTTGTTGTTTTTACTGGAGGGGGATTGGGATTCTTTTCAACTCGAAACACGACACAAGTTTATAAAAGCAAACAAATCCTATAACTCTGAGAAAAACGACTACTACGTAGAAGCAAGTATATGTATATATATATATATATATATATATATATATTTGTGTATGTAAAGACTATGAGCATCCGGCCACTTTGTTTATCTAGCTTTATGTACGTATATGTAATAGAAAATCCTTGAACGCCGTTATGGCGCTTTTTTCGCTTCTTTCCCTGTGTATTAATGGTACTGTCACCCACTCACTTCTTTCTCTCTCTTTCTCTTTCGATAAATAGTTTAGATAGCTGTAATAACATACACAACGTGTACCTTATTCTTTCCGTCATGCTACCAAGAGCCCACGCAGAGCAGATACACCTGAATATTAACTCTTTTAGGCTGGTGT